GGCGGGGCACCTTCCAGGCGCAAGATGTGCACCCCCGTCTCCGACACGCCCGTCTCCGCGCCCTCGGAGTGGTAGCATCGGCGAGGAACGCGAGTCACAATGTTGCTTTCAACAACAGCACCGCTCTACCTCCGCCAACCGCCGTCCATCTCGCGATACGACGGCGCCGCTTCATTCGCGCACCGGAACGGGCCTCTGATAAAGTTTTGTGTCGGCTCTTGGAAGCTTTCGTGCCCTTGTCCCATTATTCGCCAGCCTCCGCACAACGGAATCGCCGGAGAATAGACGTCAGCGCCATTGAGTCAGCTATGTATTAGCCCCAAGAAGTCAGCTTCGTTGGTTCTGGGTCCTGCAGTCGCTCCGTACCACATCACTGCGTTCTGCGCCGTTGGCTATGAGCTCTCCACGTACCACTTCATCCCCTGTGCGGGCATGACATGACCTGGCGCAACTCAGCTGCTGTGAACATAACGCAGGAGGCCGCTGGTGTAGCCGCCGGTTATGTTCCGATAGAAGCCTTCGAGTCTCGCACCATCGCCGACGCTGTCGGTCGCCGAGACATTCTGGCCCTGTGGGTCCATTCGTCGGTTTAGACGATAGGCTGCTCGGGCCGACGCTTTGGCCGAAGGTACTTGCTACCCCCTCGTCATCAGGTCCGGCCGACATCATGGTAGTAGCTCAATACTGCTCCGTGCCGAAAGCCCCAGCTCGGCAGGCCGGTTCCGTTCCTGAGAAACTTTACCTGTTGCTGATCGCGAACTCATCTGCAACATTGTCCTGTACATACAGTTGCGCGTCGCAATCCAAGTACTGAGAAGCTGAGGTTTTGACTTCATCGGCCACCAGCGGTAGGTTGTGCCACGCTGCGGGCGAAGAGCCACCCCGAACAACTCGACCCTCTTACCCATCCACCTCCCGATGTGCCCTGACGTTTTCGTCGGCCCGGCGGCCCGCGGTAGATCTTGCCCGGATCTACCATTACAGGGTGGCGGCCATCGAGAGCAGACCACAACTTGATTGGGAGCATGACTCGATTAGCTCGCGTCTATACTCCTGTCTCGCACCGCAGTTGAATCCCTCGCAGGGGCTGGGTGACTTACTGATCGAAAGATTGCAACACGCCGCCACCGAGTGGCCGGAACGTTGAGAATACGGTTGTACATGAAGTTGCGATCGAGAAACCGTGTATTTCGCTTAATTCAGTTGAAATGGTATAGCATGTCCCGCATGCACCAGATCTGGCTTGATGAGATGGTCTGCACTAAGCTTTCGCTTGGATAATTGGGTAAATCGGGGAATAACGTCCACATTGGAGTTTGAGTTCCAGTCTTCCACCTCATCGTGGATCAATGTTGCATTGGTTGTGGGCTCGAACTCAGATCGCTCTACTGTACAGTAGGTGGAAGATCGAAAGACCGTGGAAAACAGCATTGCTGCACGTTATGGCATCTTGAACTGAAGCAGATCGTCTCAGGAAAAGGCATGGACAACCTGATCTCACCAGTTAGTGGGTGGTCACTCATCCTCGCGCTGTGCAAAATGCACCAGCATGCCTGAGCGTCGCCTCACCTGGATATACCAAGCCAAAAGGATTGAGGAAACTCACGGAAACGCGTGGAGGTCAAGCAAGACAGTATACATCATCTGCTGGCTGATGGAACGCGCGATGCCTGGACGTGCCGCTGCAAAACGCAACGTTTGACGGTGAGCGACAAGTCGCCAACAACAGTGCTCTCATCGACCAACAGTAACCGTACTCGCCCATACAGAACTAGCCCTTTTCCTCTTGTACCGGTGAGTCCGGCCAACTTCCGACCGGCTTGCGCATCTGTGGAACCATGTTGTTCATCATAAGATCGCCGTGCCGCCACATACCTCGGTGACGCGGTGCCTCGAGTGACAACCCCGTGCCTTTCCCGCTCGTGCGACCATAGGACATGCCACATAACGCCCTCCCGTGAGGCAGTTTCCTGTGCTGGAACGCCCCTGAACTCGAGCCGGAGACTTGATGACGATTGACCAAAAGCCTGGGCCTGCGACTTGAAACGCCCACTGCAAATATGCTTTGTGCATTTACCTCCTCCTGTGCTGGTGTAGACTGAGAATCTGCGGCTAAACAACAGACGACACCCATATCGTCGACGCGACTCTAGTTCCAAGCAGGAGTCATCACAATATCGAGCACCACGTCGAAGTCTCAGTCCTGAGCGAAGGCATATCTCCTCCAGATAATCTTTCTGCAGAGATCTGCTTCACCAGGATTGTCCGGTCCACCTTCACCGGTGGTGCTGGGAGCAGCGCAAGGATCTTTGGAAGCTGGGTCTGATGCCAGCACCGCAACTAGGCGGCTCTTTGAGCATTGGACTGGCCCGGCCACCTGTTGCTCAGTTTCTGCTCGACTTACTCCGTGCATTTTACTGGAAGTTCGTCTGCGCCAGCCGGATAGCATCCGTTCACATTATCACCTTGTTTTCCCAGCCGGCGTCTTGAGTGCATCCTCATAAGTATCCTCCACTTTCGGAGTTACAATTCCCGCCAAGCCTCCACCTCGGACATACCCGGATATTTGGTTAGTCAGAATTGGAACTGACATCTCACTCATCGTTCACTATACAATGACCAACCTACCACCTGTCGACGAAGACCACGCACGCGACTGGATCTTTGAATACTCGGAGGCCAAGCGGATGGCGCCGTACCGCGCGAACGTGATTCTTGAGAAGGCACTGCTCGATACGCAGCCAGCGCCACCAGACGAAGATGTGAGTGGCTAGACTTTCCATGACACCTGTCGGCCAGCCTATGAACGGGGATCGAGGAGATGGCGATGAACGCTGCCGAAGGCAGTGTAAGTCTTTGAGCAACTCCAGAAGGTGCGACACGCGTACGACGCCGCAGAGGCAACGCTAGTGGTGCTCGAGCCACCGCAACTGCCCTCATCGGTCTGCCTGAGGAATTAGACGATCGAGCCACCTACGTGATCGCGATCGAGGGACTGAGCGCAAGCTGGCACTTTCAGGAGGCTATCGTGCTTTGACAGCCACGATAGAGCCACGAGATTCGGGAAAGCAACCGCACGATCATGTCCGCACTTGTGCAGATGTTTTTAGATCCATTCCGGGCTGACGACAGGAGTGCTGTGGCTCGTCGTGTTGCCCCTGCGTGCTCGACCTGTGGCGCGAAGAGGTAGCCGTGTGGAAGGCCGTGCGTGATGGCACGAGCGTTGAGACTCTCGCGGCGCGAAAGAACTTCAAGTCATAAACGCTAGCTTGGGCGGTTGGGGGTTGGGTGCCTTGGTCACCTAGGCGTCCTCACTCACGCAACTCTCCTCGGCTCCTCTTCCCTCGTTCCCCTTCCCGTTCGCCCTCGTCTTGGTCTCAACCCCTTACAATTCTTGGTTTTCAGGCCACTCGGAGGCCTCCGCTTCCACTCCGCACGCTTGCATCTCTCTAGACGACCCGTGGCTCATCTACGCACGATATTGTATACTAGGCTCACTGCATACTGTGCTGATCTCTGGTCGCGGCGCGGTCTGCGATTTAACGGAATGGCGTAGCGTATATTGGAGGCAACACGGGTGTCCTTCCCCTGCGATGACCAACTGATCATCCCCGTCTGTGCATGGGCCAACGCCGACGGTTGAGCGACATCGTTCTTTCACGGAGCTATCGCCGCACCGCAATATGTCAACGCCCGTTGGGAAGTTAGGCCGGCGCCAACCCACCACCGCAAGCATCGCTATAGCTTAGTGGAAGAGCGCGAGGCTCATAATAGTGACCTCGAGGTCCCAAGATCGAGACTTGGTGGCGATAGGCATTACAGACTCTGTCTCTTTTGGCATCTGATTCTGCCGGTCCCATGGCGCGGGCATGACTGGACGAGGAAGTGCTCAGAACCGAGCTGATCCTAAGCTTGCCGAGCATTTGGACGGTGCCACACTGAGACCTATACGCAGTTGACAAGTGTATGGAAATGCGCGCGCGCAGATCTCTGCCATCGACAGTGGGCCTGATGGCAGCGAGATTCATAGGTGCCAACTCGCGACACCCAGTCCTCTGCTAAATCACCTCGCAAAGAAAGGAGTGGGCAGCCTGCTTTCCGCAACAAGGACCACACACAGTTGCGGATTAGACACGGCGGAGCGTCTGTCAGAGAATAGTGTGGACCGGGACGTCAGCCAGAGGAACAGGTGTCATGGAAGCCAGCCCTCTCATCTTCACTTGCATCCGAAGGCCGACCGAGCTTCGGTCACCAGCGGCCCTCGCCCTGCCTTAGACTATCCGACAGGATCTGGTGTCCTATATGTGGTCCTGGCCAGGCGATATGGCGTACGCCTTGAGAATGGTCGCGGCCTCTACAGGTACGGGTTGCATGAAACACCGGCACCGAGATGCCAGCCGAGGAGTCGTTGCCTGCCGCAAATCGCGGCGTCTCCAACCACGTCTGACGGCGTCTCCAGCCTCGCATCGCACTTACGTGCATTACGCGACGTGCTTCGGGATGGCTCGGTGTCCGATACCGTCAAATGCCGGTCCGCTGCCGGCTGCCGGGGATACTGGGTCTTGCTGGTATCTGGGGATCTGGGGAGCCCGAGGATCGGCGACGTGTGCCAACGACAACACACGAGCGTTTCTGCGGCATGCCGCAACCGTTGTGCCGAGCCCTGGCGATCTGGCGATGCACGACGTTCCAAAATAGTGCCTCGGCACCGGGTCTCGGCATGCTAGGGATAAGATAACGCGAGCCCGAGAACAACGCGGCGGACACAGGAACGCGGTGGCTCGAAGAACAATAGGATTCGGCCGGGCAGCCGCGCAACTTCGGGCGGGCAAGGTCAAGGACAAGAGGATAACTTCAAGGTTGACTGTAGCTCCGCCGGTCACCGAGTGACGGCGTGCGTGGCGGTGTGGAGCGTGTTCCTAGCCCAGTGCCACGGGCCTGCCAGGGATGTAGATGTCGGACGCCGGAGACGAAGACGAGGCGAGCGCTCGTCGTCAGCGCTCCGCCAGCGCGCGCGCGCCTGTGGCTCTCCTGACGCCGGAAGGCGTTGCTTAAGACGTTGACGGAGAAACCAACGAAGCTTTCAGAAGGACGGGAAAAGCAAAATCATGGTTGCAAGGTCGTTGGGGACGACATACCAAACACCGTGGTGAAAACGTCGCACACGCGCTTCATTTGTCGATCTTGACGATTTTGACGAGAGACGAGGACACCATGCGGTGACCTTCGGTGAGTGGGTCGTGCACCCTGGACGGTCAATCAACAGTCACATAGCAGATTTCAAGGCGTGCATGGCTCCCAGAGGCCAAGTAGAGCTCGCGAGACTGGCTATCGGTGTCACATCAATGCATGTTGTACAGTTACAACGACGACAGCGCGCCAGGCTCCAACATGCGCTGCTCTTCTCGGCGCGGAGCCCTTCACCCACAGTCGCCGCAGTAACATGACGGCCGGGTACTGCTGCACAGGTCGTTGGGGGGCCGCAGAGCGTGAGTGCCGAACAAAGTGGCTGACACTTAGGCCAGGTAGTTGCTGCTTGTTAGTGGTATTCCAGACATAGCGTCTTCCCGCCCGGGCCATGCCCATACTCACTAGGTGTCCTTCGTGTCGCCACGCTCGAGGTACTCCTTGTCAATCAGGTAGTCGATGGCCTTTTTGATCTCGGAGACCTTGGGCGTAAACTTCGTCGAGATGCTCTGCGCGACCTCCTGGATGAGGCCCTGGTGCTTCATGGTCTTGCGCGCCTTCATGATGCGCACAATCGTCGCCTGGTACACAAACTTGCGGTCCTCGTCGACAGCCTGGAGCACCTCGGTCGCCTCGGCCTTCTGCTCGGCCTTCACTGGGTGGTTGAGCTGCACACGGATCTTCTTGGAGCGGAAGTTGAGGTTCAGGTCGTATGTGTCGGAGTCATTAAGCAGCACCTTGGCCTTGACCAAAAGGTTCAACTGCGGCTTTAAGATCTTGTCGTCGATCTTGGTACCGTCCGCGAGCTCCTTGTACGAAAGCGAGTCGTTCTCGTTGAACTGAGTGAGGATGGCCATCTGGTACGCGGATGTCATGAAGATGTACTTCTGCTGGAGGTACGTCGTGCGGAGCTCGTTCTTGGACACATGCCACAGCCATGTGAGCTTGCGGCCAGAGTGAACGTCGTTGTAGAACTTCGTGAACCGCTCATGTGTCCGCTGCACCTCGCGCGGCACGGCGTAGTCGGTCTGCTGAGGAGCAAGTGGCCAGAAAGTAGTACCGAGGACCATGATAGAGAAGTCGACTGCTGTGTCAGTTAAATCTCTAGTGCCAACTCACGATCGTCTCCTGAACCTTCGCGCCTTTCCTTCTCCTTGAACTTCTCCGTCAGATCGCGACCAACGCTAACGTCGCTGAACATCCTTGTAAGCTTTGTGGTGTAGTCGTAGCCGCAGACCTCCTTGAGCTTGGAGATCATTGACCCCTCAGAGTCGTCGGATGCCGACATCGAGTTGACCAAACGCTGCGCGAGCTTCTTCTGGTAGAACTTCTGGAAGACGTCCTTGTCGTCGATGAACTTGAAGATGATCATAGCCTTGGTAAGAGCTCCCTCCAGGGCGTCCGGGTCCACGTCACGGTTGCTCTTCTTGAGCAGCTGGTCGCAGTAAGACGCGAGAAGCTCGGGCGACTTGGTCGCGGTCTTGGCAGCGGCGTTGGAGTTGGTAAAGTCACGGCACGCCTTGTCCAGAGACGCGTTGAACCCAATCTCAGAGTGGAAAGGACCGTCCAAAATCTCGTGAAACTTGCTGTGCACGGACAGGAGTGCCTCGATGTACGACTTGGGGTCCAGCACCTCGGGCTTGCCCGCCTCGTTGACCGCTCCGGGGGCGGGAATGACACGTTCTATAGCGGCCAGGCCGGCCTTCTTGACGTGCTCCTCGAACTTGACGCGGAGCGAGTCGAGACCATTAACGCGAATAAGAAGACCGTACATGCGGCCCAGGTCTGAGTGTCAGCGGTGCCGAAGAGAAGTGGAGAATGCTTACCTGCTTCGCGGTCTGCCTCCAGCAGAGGCTGGAACTCGTCCTGCATTATCTTCTCGTGCTCCTTGATTAGGACATATTCGCACGTCTCCTTGAGCTGTTGTCAGCTGCTGCTAGCGTCATGAGCTCACCTCGCGCCGTGAAGAGTCATGCAGGTAGAGGTTGATGCGGTCCTGCTCCTCCTTCAAACGGTCCTCGGCCTTCTTCATGTAGTCGGGCACCGAGTTGTTGGCCACGAACGTGGCCGACTCCTGCGCGTAATACTTGCGCGTAGCCTCGATGAAGTACCTCTGGAAGCAATCATTGTAGACTTCGAGGTTCTCGCGCTGCACGTCTGCGTCGTCGATGCCGAGCGCGACTAGATGTCAGCCGCGGCCGCTGTCTCAGGGGACCCACCATAGCTCTCAATGACCTTCTTCAGGAGCGAGTTGTCGATTGTCTCTCCGTTGCGCTGCAGCTCAATCTGCTTGAGCACGGCCTGGGTAAGGCGCGAAGGCTCCGAGTCGCTCTTCTGGATGTACTTGAAGAAGTTCTTCTTCCAGGCTACGAGCGCGAGCTGGTGTCAGCGAGCCTTCAGAACGCATGCGTACAGTGTATACGGTGTATATCTCCTTTCGCCCTTCGTCCTTCTCACGCTTTACCCAGTGCTTGTTCAAGTAGTTGAACAGCTTGTGGAGGTACCCCGCGCCGGTGGTGTACCGCTCCCACTGGCGCGCGTAGTACTTGATGAGCTCGATGTCGGAGAGACGCTCGCCTTCCTGCTCGTCAGCTGATCGCTCGCGGCTCGGATCCCACCTCTCGCATCTGACGACAGTGTTCGGCCAGGTAGCCGTTGAGCTTCTTGTACAGGTCGGCGCCCTGCAAGCTTGCGCCGCCCTTCGGTGCCGACGCGAACCCACCGCGGCTCGGAACGGTGCAGTAGTCGTAGATGGTCGTGTACAGAATGATGTAGTACTGGTACGACATGCCCATCTGCAGCCTGGTTGTCAGCGCACGAGCTTGTGGCGTGTGGCAAGGAAGGCGACGTCGGAGTCGGGCACACGTACCGCGTCATGATGTGTTCGACACCATTCTGCAAGAACTTCCAAGCTGTCTGTCGTCAGCGCGCCCCGCTTGGAATAGCCATCACGGCCCTGGTCGCAGGTACGAACTTGAAGATCAGCATCCCTGTGGTCAGCCTTAGTCATGAGCAGCGCAAGGTGGCGCGGCGAGGAGGTGTGGGCGCGCACGCGCAAGGTGAGGGGAGCAACAGGCATTAGGTCGCTGCTGCTTTGCCCTCACCTCGTCCCCCTCGTGACGGATACGATCTGTCTCGTGCCCGGCAAAGCAGGTCTTGGCGTCCGTCTCCGATGGAGATGATGCGGCTTGGCCGCGCCGCTCCAACTCACTTGGGCGGCTTGTCCTCCTTCGTCGGCTCGCGCCATGCGACCTGGCGGGCCGCAGACATGTGCGTTAGGTATGAGAGTGTGGAGATGAGTGCGTCTCGGTGACGCTGAGTTGGAGGCAGAGGTGTCGGAGGGTATGGGGGAGAACGAGGACGAGTGAGTGGCCAACTGCATAAGCAGATGGAGGACGACACGCGACGGAATCGTCGGGTCTGGGCGGTGCGGCAGCGGAGGCAAAATGAAACGAGTGATGCGACTTGAGGTCATTGCCACTGTTACTGGGTTGATGGTCTGATGGGCTGATGCATGCATGGAGCTCTGAGAGCCGCGGTGTGCCAGAAGAACATGGTCTGCATGCAAGCACTCAGAATGAGAGATCGTGGAATATGGTGCTAGGCAATCAACCGAATTCAACGGCGGCAGTGATTGCGTGTGTTTCTCCTGGCTCGTGAACATGTGCATCGACTACAATCTACAGCGTCTACTTGATGAATCTGGCATTAGATCGCTTCCTCGGTGGACTCACTTCTGCATGAACTTCTTGTGGAACTCGGATCGCAAGAGGTCGTTGACAAACTCGCCCTTCTTGGGCTTGTCGAGGGTCACCGACTGGTTCTTGAAGATGAGGTCGTCGTCCCAGCGTCGCTTGACAGTAAACCCTGCCGAGGATGTCGATGCCGCTGCTGGTGTCTGGCCAAGTGCGGCCTGTAGGTTGAGCAGAGGGTTGCCCGTGGCGATCTCCTCTTCCCGGTCGCGCGCCGCGCCCGCATTCGCCTCCGCTTCCTGTCGTCAGCTCCATCGCTCCATTCGGTTGCACGCTAGCATGCAGTACGTACCAATCGTGCCTTCTCCTCAGCCCGCTCGGCCTTGATGCGCGCCAGCTCAGCCATGAGCGCGGCGGTGTCGTCGTCGTCCGAGTCCGAATCCGAGTCGTCGCTGGGGTCAGCTTCGCCATCGCGCTCTGTCCCCGAGGACGCACCTGTCGCTCTCCTCATCCGCCTTGCTCTTCCCCTTATCTCCGTTCTCCTCTTCCTCGTCCGAGTCGTCCCGGTCCAGCTCGGCCGCCTCCTCGAGGATCTTGCGCCGCTTAGCCGCCGCCTCGTCCTCCGCGCTACCGTTTTCGATCGCCGCCGTCCCTGCTGGCAAAGGAGGCAGTCCTGCCGCCTTCCGCTTCTTCTCCTGCGCTGCCCGCTCCGCCGCCGCTAGCTCCGCGCGCAGGTCACGCCGCGCGACGTCGCTCGCGGACGTCTGCCCAGGCTGCCGGAACTTGAGCTTGGTGTGCGAGGCGAGCGCGAGCTTGGCGACCTGCTGCGAGCCCGCCTTGGACTCGCGGCCCATAGTCGGGTTCCATGTTGGTCGATGGGCCTGGGACATGATGCGCGATGGGTTTCAAGTGCAGATGGCGTTGGAGGGGTTTGGAAGTTGTGCAAGAAGTCGAGATGAGCTTTGCACTTGGAGACAACAAAGGTGGCAAACCCCACGTGGGATGGGAATTTTGCTTCCGCTGATCCGCTGGCCTCCATCACCTGCCTCTCTCGCCGAGCGGGCTGATACTTCAGACCGCTGCTGCACCAACATCCCCCGCGCTGAGCTACGAGTCCAATGCATGTCTATCACTTCTTCTCGAACCACCTCCACGTGGACTTTGTCGCGGGCTCGGCCTTGCGCTCCTGTGCGGCGAGGGCGGGTTCGGCCCGTGCGGCCTGGACCTTTGCCGCGGCGCTCGCAGCCTTGCTCGCGACGGCGGCCTGGCGCGCCTCGGCGTCGGCCGCGACCTTGCGGCGTGCGGCCTCGAGCGCACGGTTCTTGAGCATCTCGAGACGGCTCGTCTTGTCGTCCACGACCTCTTCCTGGGCGACGTCGCTCTCGCCCTCCTCAGATTCGGCCTGCACAGCCTGCGCGGCGGCGGCGTTGGCGGCGGCCGCGCGCGCAGCCTTCTGCGCCGCGAGCTCGCGCGCAATCTCCGCCTCTTGCGCCGCAATCTCGGCGCGCAGCGTCTCCTCGGCTTCCTGCGCCGCGCGACGCTCCTTCAGATCCGGTGTGGTTTCGAGGACAAGGCCCTTGAACTTGTCCGCGACGCCCGCGAGCCCGTTGTAAAACCCGCCAGAGAAGGCCTGGAGCGCGCGCACAATCTCGTCGTCTTCGCGCTGCTCACGCGCCGACACCCGGTTCGCGTACCGCAGATACCGGAAGTCGCGGGCCTTGCGTGTGCGCGGCTCGAGCGAGAACTTGATCGTGCGCTGCGTCTCGCCCTCGGCCGCCTCGACAGGTGGCGCTGGGCGCAGCGCTGCCTCAATGTCCGCGAGCGACACGCCCCCAGTCGTGTCCGCCGCGTTGTACTTTGGCGCAGGGATCTCAAAACGGTTGTCGCCATCAGGAAGCTCAACGGGCTTGAGCAGTGTCACGAAGAGGCGGTTGGCGGGCCGCAGCGAGTCCGCGTCCTTGACCACATCAATGTTGAGCACCACACCGTACTTTGCCTCAATGGCGCGCACGATCGCAAACGCATAGGTCATGTTCGGCATGCGCTCAAAGGTGCGCACGGCAAACTCAGTCGTCCCCGCCGAGTTTGTGAGTTCTGGCGCCGGGATAGACACAATTGTCCGGCGCGCTGAAGCCGCGCGTGATGTCGACGCGAACGAGGCGCGCGCGAGCGCCGCAGCACCGGAGCGCGAAAGTGTCGACATGGTGGTTGTGGTGAAGTGTGGCCGACACGGCAGCTGGTGCACCGAACTTTGCATGAGATCGGCCAAAATCGAAACATGCTCCCAAGAATCTGCTTCCGCGATCGCCCTCCACCACGGCAACATGCGGCCTGCCTGTCCAAGAATGCACACCACAAACCGCCACCCCGCCCTCTCTACAGCCGTAACACTTGTACGACTCGACGACATAAAGTATGGGTCGTATCACAACATCCCTACAAGATAGATGGAGAAAGTCTACGAGGTGGTGAGGTACCATAGTGTCCCGACTGTTTACTTATTCCCTAGGCGCTCCTGATGCCGGCGACGGAGGCGCGGCCGGTGCTGCCGAACCCGCCGCAGACTGGGTGTTTCTAGACCCGGCGGGCACAGGGGGGACATCCTCGACGCCGCTACCAGACCGGTCAAAGCTAAACTCGAAGCCGCCGAGACCCGAGACGTTACTCATCCCGAGCGTCAGGCGCGAGGGGTGAGCTTGTCCCGAAGTCCTGGAAGAGCCGTCTGCGTCAACGTTTGGTGGAACGAAGGGGAAGCGGCCGAGGAACGAGTCAGCGAGCGAGTGGGCCGAGGTGGCGGTGAGAGGACGCCCACCGGGGGCGGCACCGGCGCCAGCGCCGGGAGTGGCCTTGAAGGCTGTTGGGGGTGGAGCAGAACCTGTCTGTGAGGAGGTGAGGTCGGGGTTGGAAGCATTGGCACCGCCAGATGCAGGAGGGATCATGGGGAAGGAGCCGAGAAGCGAGTCGTTGCCAGTCGACTTGTACGAGGAGATGGACTGGAAACGTTGACGATCGTAGCCGGCAGGGAGGCTGGGAACGGGAGGCTGGTCTTGAGGGCTCAGGAACCGGCCGTGGTTGTGGTTGCTTGTTCCCTGAGTGGATATGGAAGTGCGGTCATATGCCAAAGATCCCATCGAGAAACGCAAGTCGGTTGGGCTCGGCTGCGAGACATTGCCCTCGTCATCGAATGCGCGGGAGGCCAGGGACGTGCTCGACTGCGCAGGCATGCCGCCGGCGTGGGGTGTCGCTGTGCTTGGAGGTGTCAAGTTGAGCATCTCGGCATGCCTTTCGGTGAAAGGATCTGACCCTGTGGAAGATGCCGTCTCCTCGCTTGTCGTCTGCTGCGCACCAAATGAAACAGGATGGGGAACACCAAACTGAACCATTTCGGCGGTCTGCAAACGGCCGACCTGCACAGCCTGGCGTGTCATGATCTTGGGAACATCAATGTGGAGGTCGCCAGTGGCACCCGAGAGGAACGATGGTGTAACAGAGATGCCTGACCGGAACGAGTCGCGCGACGAGCCGCCCTCTGCAAGCAACTGGTTGTGTTCGGCCTGCTGCATCGGGTTAAGGCGCAGGTCAAGGTCGGGAGCACGGGCAGGGCGAGGCGGAGGAGCACGGGGACGCCACAGGTTCTGGCGAGCCTGATCAAGGGTTCGCGCCGCAGCAGCTTGCTGTGATGGGTTTGCTGCCTGGCCTGCGCGCGCGGCGGGCGACTCCTGGCCTGGAACGTAATGGATGGGCACAACGTTGGTTGAGTGACCGCTCTCGGCTCGGTCTGTGGACAGACTGGCATGATCGCCGAAGGGGTCACCTGAGCCACCGTTGTCGGGGTGGTTGGGATCGGCGTTGATGGCCCCCCGCTTGCCGTATACACGGACAGTGTTTCCGTTGGCATCGCGATATTCGTGCTCGACAGGAGCGTTGGGGAGGCGCTGCGACGAAGACCGTGACCCGTTGCTGGTGGGGGATCGGGCACCCAACTGAGCCGACTGGTGGCGTGAGGTCGATGGCGAGCCGGGGTGTGACAAGTGGAAGGCTGACGACTCGCCCTTGCGAGCGCGGTCGGCGAGGTCCTCGAGACGGGCGAGGTCGCGCTTCTTCCCTGTTAGCAATTATCGCTCGCCTGAGACATACCTTCTTTCGGCGCAACCACCAGAAAAGACACAAGCTTGCAGCAACAATGACTGCACCAACGATGGGCCCAGCGATGATGCCGGGGTTTATCCCGCCGCCCCCCGCCGACGCGATAGGCTTACATTGGACGTATGAGCAAGTGCTGCAGGACCTAATGTCTGTTAGCGGGGGAAGGAGGGGAAGGCGGTTTGAACGCTTACCTGTAGATGACCTGACACTCCTCGCCGGCCTTGCAGTTGCATACTGGCTTCTCCGAGGGACACTCGATAGGAACGCAGCCGGGCGAGTCAGAGGCCTGACGGGGCCACAGTTCGACTACGCGATTGGGGCTACCAAAGTCGCCGACGAGGTCCATGACGAGGGAGGAGGAAGGCGGGGGAGGGGGATAGTTGTTGGAAAGGAGAGTGCGGAGAGAGAGTAGGTGTATCCGAAACCCAGGCGGTACTAGCGGGCGATGAGTGACGAGGGGAAGGAGGAGGTTGGAGGAGAGAGTGGGGAGTAGGAGTAGGCGTCGGCGGTTCTCAGCGGCCAGTTGGAAGCACAGAAGTGGTTGCCAATGCCTGCCGTGTCACCGCCTGATGAGAGGGGTCGGTGCGTTGAGGGACGCTACCGGGGGGGGGGGGGGGGGGGGGGGGGGGGGGGGGGGGGGGGGGGGGGGGGGGGGGGGGGGGAGTGAAGTGCGGGTAGGCGAGTGGTGGGTTTAGGATACGGAGTAGTCGAGTTTGAGAGAGAGTGAGAGGAGATGTTGATGTTGATGCAAGGTGCAAGGTGGAGATGGTGGAACGGCGGTGGACGGAGTGTGCGCGTTGATCACGACGGGGCCGAGGGAGAAGGGAGGGGGTAGAGTGCGTGTGCTCGAGACAAGAGGGCTGTGTGTTGTCGGATGGGATGGCTACGAGGACTGCAAGGGTGCCCAGACCGAGATAGGAGGCGCGCTCAAACCGTTCAAGGGGGGGCGTCGACGAGGAGATCGAGGGAACGGAAACGGACGGGGGTGACAGACTAAGCCGAGGGAGGTCACGCGTCGTACTGCTGTCGACAGCGGGGCGTCGAGTGATCGCGAGAAACGTCGAGTGATAGACGAGGAGGAGGAGGAGGAGGAGGAGGATGATGAGGAGGATGACAAGAGATGGACGACGTGAAGTGCACAAAGGTGCCACCCACCACTCTCCACGCCCCAGGCGGCAGAGCAGAGGAGCCGAGGGGGCGGCAAGCAAGGGGAAGTTGGCAGGGCGCAGGCAAGGTTGCAGTGCCAAACTATTCAGGAACTCTGAGGGTCAGAGTCTGGGCAGGCCGGATGGACGGATCGCCGCCTCTTAATCGTACGGTGGGGGGTGTGGGCCGCATGGCACCTGGGCGCGGAGAGGGCACAGGGCGTGATCCAGGGTTTGCCTCCAATCATCCTCCCCGTCTCTGCTCTCTCCAGATCTCTCTTGGATCCCACGCCTGCGCAAGCATCAGTTCGTCTCAGGGCTTACACCCCCCGCCCTGGAATCTGCTGCGCTTACTTTCCCCATCTCGCCCATCGAGCTTGGCTCCCTCCCCCCGGCCCCTCGGCCCTCGGATCCCGCGAGGCCGCTATGCATCCCCGACTTGTCATGTCTTCATATCTGCATGGTCCATCATTCAATGCCACACGCGATCGTAAATCACTCGTCGGTGTCATAGCACTCATGTGCCGAGGCAGACAAGCATCCCTGTGGCGCCGACAGAATGGCTCATCACTGGCTGAGACGCGAGACGGACAGCCTCCGCGCCCGTCACCCGGCCGCCCGACCGGGGCACACGAGTGCCACAAGCCACAGCCGTCCAGCCAGCCGAGCCCTCGCCCGAACCGGCTCCCGCCAAGCTTGCTAGCTTGCTAGTCTACTCACTCCTGTATTCTGCGCCTGCGTCCTGCACAGCACTACGAGCCGCATATGGCTCGGCGATCTTGGCTCCGGCTCGGCCCACTTCCCACCATCGTGCCGCACCTCCGTCCGCATCGGGAGCAGTTTTGCGTACTTGGCAGTGGCTGGTCACGATTTTGTTCTGTACTCCGCTGCGTTTCTCTGTACCTCAATCGAGCACCGGCGGGTCGCTTCTGTGCCGAGGAATTGGAGGCCACTTCTCACTGTTCCAGCCACGCCCGACGCAACATGGCGAAGATCAGAGTGCCAGTGCCAGTGTCAGTGTCAGCTTCACCGTCAGGCCGTCAGCTTAAAGTCTCCTCCTCCGTTCCGAGGATGTGGCACTAGTAACGGCATAGCGTCCCGAACCGCAATGCCGCAGATCGCTCCACCATGACATAACGATGGCGGTGACTCCGGGCACTGCTTTGGCTCTCTCCGGTCACAGCTCCGGCCAATGCAGCAGATATTCTGGAAACGATCGCAGTCGCTGGCCATTTTTCTCACGTCAGCTCACCCGCCCAAGTCCAGAGTCCAGACCATCACGCGACACGCACGACGCTCTTAAACGCGCGAACGCGTCTTGCCGACGCCGACACCCCAAAATGACCACATTGCGTCCTGCTTCCCGCACGAGCCGGCGGTCGGCCGCGTCTTCTGGGGGGGGGGGGTTCCATGGTCCATGGACGAAAGCGTTGGAACGACTTGCGACTTCCAGCATACGAACCGAGCCAGGCATCCCAGGCATCCCAGGCATCCCAGGCATCCCAGGCATCCCAGGCACAGCTACGCACGCGTTTCCAGACCCCGATGCACGCCGGCACATGACAAGAGCATAGAGCAGAGCATGACTCGCCCAAGCTCGTCCTGGGTCGCATTAACGCATTCCTGAGCCGAGCCCTCGTTCCTGCTGCCCATGGCAACACAAAGATCACAAGACTTGGGATCGTCGCCCTCACGCCCTCGGCTTGCCCAGCCACGCGACACAACACGCTCATAATAGGACACCGGCTTGAGCCAACCTTGTCGGTTAAAAATTCCTTACACCACGGCTGCCACGCTCACGGATATAGACGCGTGTTCGTCATCGATGCATTCTTCGTCACTCCCGCCGTGCCTCGGAACTCAAATTAAGTGATAACGGTCGGCTTGTCACGCTTCGTGAACTCTTGCAGCTTCGACGTCGCGAGCGCAACCTCAATGAGCGGCTTGAGGCCGACCTGTGCGTCGTCGGCATACTCCGACTCGTTGCGGCTGTACTTTTCAACGTACAGGCGCACCGTTGCGCCCGAGGAACCAGTGCCTGACAGACGGAAGATGACACGCGAGCCGTCGGTGAACTTGATGTACAGGCCCTGCTTCTTGCTCACCGATCCGTCAATGGGGTCTGTGTAGCTAAAGTCGTCGGCCGACTCGACAGTAAACGTCGTGTCCGACGTGGTCGCCTTCAGCTTCTTGCCCGCAAAGTCGCTTGACGCAAAGAGCTTGCGCAGGTGCTCCATCATCGCCTCAGCGCCCTCCGACTCGACCTCCTCGTAATCGTACCGCGAGAAGAATGAGCGGCCGTACTTCTTGTAATGCGCAAGGAGAACGTCGTTGATCGTCTGTCCAGGCTTCTCCTCGTTGGCCTTGGCAAGGATAGAGAGCCAAGCTAGCGTGAGTCACGGCGATGGGGACAGTATCAGTACTAACCGACAATAGCCCAGACGCCGTCCTTCTCGCGAATGTGGTCCGAGCCAGTGCCGAACGACTCCTCACCGCAAATCGAGAGTCGGCCAGCGTCCATGAGGTTGCCGAAGAACTTCCCTGGGGGTTAGCGGCGAGAACAATGACACGGTATGCAACAGGCAAGCGACAGCACGCCATCGCAGCCGATGTAAGCATGACAAGGCTTGTCGGCGGCATGCCTCCCCTGCCCCTCCTCTTCCACACTCACAGCCAGTAGGCACCTCAAACACCTCGACGCCCTTCTCCTTCGCGACAATGTCGATGGCGCCCGACGTCGGCATGGAGCGCGCAAGGCCCTTAAGGCCGTTCTTGAAGTAAGGAATGGCCTTCTCAGCCCAGTCAGCGATGATGGCCACCGAGTCGGAGGGCGTGACGAACGCCTTGGCGCCGTAGATCATGTTGCGGTCTCCGTCACCGTCAGAAGCCGCGCCAAAGACAATGTTTCCGGCATCGACCTTCTCGACAAGGGTGTGAGCGTAGGTGAGGTTGGGGTCAGGGTGAAGGCCGCCAAAGTCAGGCTTGGGGTCGCAATTCTGAATCGAGCTCTCGGGGAGGCCCAGCTCCTCAACGAAGATAGCGCGTCCATAAGGTCCAGTGACACCGTTGAGAGCATCAAAGAGGACCGAAGGCTTGGGCGAGGTCTCGTGCAGGTACTTCTTGATCAGGTCAAAGTCGAAAATCTCCTTAAGGAGCTTGATGTAGTTCGTAACGCTGTCCACGATGGTGACCTTGAGGGGACCGTGAGTGAACTCGCCGATCTTGGAGAGGTCAAGCTGGGGTTAACGAGCGTTCAGCCAAAGCAGCAAGCAAGAGGTGTCAAGCGTGGCGTCATCCAGCTCGCGCAGTGCCAGACTCTAGGAATTGGAGTATTGTTGTCACTCACGTCAGGCAGGTCGACCTTCTTGTACTCCTTGATCGTTGTGGTAATCTTGTAGATGTTGTTCGTGACCTCCTCGGGCGCGGGACCACCGTTGGCCGTGTTGAACTTGATACCAAAGTCGTTCTCGGGACCACCGGGGTTGTGCGACGCGGTGAGGAGGATGCCACCGTCCGTCTTGAGTTCACGGATGAGCGCCGAGACGGCGGGCGTGGACAGAATCGTGTCCTGGCCCATAATAACGTGCTTGATGCCGTTACCGGCAGCGAGGCGGAGAATAGCCTGCGAAACCTCGGGGCTCCAGTAGCGCCCGTCGCCGCCGACGACAATTGTCTTGCCGTCGCTACCGCCGGGCATGGCGCTGAAGATGGCCTGCACGAAGTTCTCGGTGTAGCGGGGCTGCTGGAACACCTTGACCTGGGAGTTAGCGTGTGAATCATTGCCAAGGGGTGGGAAGTGGGCTGAAGGAGGGCATGAGGGAAGGCGTGATGGGCGCTACGAGACGCAGCCGTTTACAGCAGCGTAAGTTTCACCCTCGGCTGTGAGAGCTCGAGGCTGAGCGATGAGCCGCAGAGGATGCTTGAAAGGAGTCCAACAGATCCACCTGCCGCAGCCCCGAGGGTGGGCGGGTGAGCAGACATGCACACGACGAGTCAACGCCGCGCACTGAGAAATTGGGCTCGAAGACTTCGGTGCGAGCTTATGGTGCAACCCGGACGCGAGCTTCTGAAGCGGATCGAGTCGCCTCAGCCTCGGTGTCCCGCCTCCCACTCGCAACTGTTCCAGTTTTCCTCACAAGGGCCAACACCTCCGTTGCTTTGAGTCTCCCCCGCTCTCCCTTCACGAGCCCAGCAGGCTACCAGCGAGGCTTCCCCCAGCGATGACGACACTCACCTTCTTACGAAGACCAGAGGTGCCGGGCTTCTGCCCCTCGAATGGCTTGGTCTGGACAGTTTCAACAGACCTGCCGTCAGCTCCAATGTCTCTGCGTGAGCGTTGATAGACTTACATGGTGGGAGATGTGGATGAAGCAAACGAAAGGATTGGGGGTGTGTGAGATGTGTTGGCGGAATGGGCGGGGTCATGACGCTACTGGCCCCAGAACTGGCCAACCCCGCGTCCGTTCCTGGACCCAACCGCCGGCCCACGGCCCGATCATTGCGGTTGTTTCCGCCGCGCGCCGCATCCTCCCCGTCTCTCTGTATCTCTGGCACATCCACGTTCCCGTGGTGCTCCTCTGTTCGCTTCGCTCTATGCTGTATTGATGCTTCGCTCTCGCTACGATTTCTTCGCCACAGACAGGTTGTTTCGTTTAGTAGGACAAAAGTTCAATGGCGCATAGCGTTCTCCCACGCCCCACCTCACCGTCGGGGACTTTAATCCGCTCTGGGAATGACGCCGATTCTGCCGATGTCAGGATCATTCATGTGCAGTCGATCTCACAGCAAGCATCCGCGGCTGTGTGGCACCAGCTAGCAGGTATAGCAGGGCAAACAGCGAGCGGCGAGGGCAAGATTGCCACTCCAGAGCGGAATGTGTCTTGCGTAACAACTGCAGACACCTGGGATCAGAGAACTGAGAAAAGTGGCACCATGGTGGTGCTGGGGCACCACTTAAATCGACACAATAAGGCTTCACCTCGGCAGCCTCACAGCTTTCTGAGGGCGAGACTTGAGCTGTGCTGATGTCGTAGGCCTTTACACGAAAGACTGCAGCCGGTAAAGGCGAACATTACAGCAAAAGGCAGATATGTCTCCCAGACAGGTTCGAACGGCCGAACGCTTGACACACAATTTGATCCTATGTTGATTGTCGGGATGGTGGGGACGCGGGGACAGCTGTGAGCTGCATGCATGCTTGCATACTGAGATGGCCTTATTAGCACAATTGAGAGAGCTAATAAGCCGCCTCAAATTCCGTCCGCGAGGAGTGTATGTCAACACCCCCGCTCAAGGTGTGATCTGATTGCACGTGACCCGGAGCCAAACATTGATCTCTTGAGCCCAACTCTCACCATACTGGTGCTCGCTTCGACGCGTATTCTTCCCCACTGCCCACTCCCCATCCGCCTCCTCTCCTCTCGAATTTCTTCCTGTGGATTCTTATCTTGCTTATTTACCCGTCTTCTGTCAGTTAACGTCTGGTTATTGCGCTTACACGCAGACGTGACCCCTCCTCATAATGCCCAAGGCCGAGACAACAACCGTCACTCGCCGGTCGGCGCGTATTGCGTCGGCTGGATCTGCACCCAAGGTGAAAGCTTTTTCTGATAACCAACTGATAGCAGAAAGAGGAACCGAAGCCAGCGGAGAAGGTGACTAAGCCGAAGGCGAAGCCTAAGTCGACCGAGGCAAAGGCCAAGTCGACTGAGACGCAGCCCAAGTCTACTGAGGCTAAGTCCAAGTCGACCGAGGCCGAGCCCAAGGCCGCGCCCAAGTCCAAGGAGCCCAAGTCCACTGATAATGAGACCAAGGCGGCGCCTAAGTCTAAGGAGCCCAAGTCCAAGGAGACCAAGGCGAAGGAGCCAAAGTCCAAGGAGACGAAGACCAAGGAGCCCAAGTCCAAGGAGCCAAAGTCCAAGGAGACCAAGGCCAAGGAGCCTAAGTCTAAGGAGACCAAGCCCAAGTCGAAGCCCAAGCCCAAGTCAACGGATGACAAGATGGACGTGGACGAGCCTGCCGAAGACAAGGCAGACGAGGACAAGTCCGCTGAAGACAAGCCCAAGTCTTCGGACAACAACAAGCCGCCGTCGGCCTCGCGTGGCGCGCTGCAGCTCGGCTCGACCTTGCCCAAGCTCACCCTGCAGAACGAGGACGGCGAGGACGTTGACGTCTCTACGCTGACTGGCGAGCGCGGCGTAGTCATCTTCCTGTACCCGCGTGTGCGTCCTACCTCCAGCCGCGCAATGATGCTGACACGTGTGGTCTCGACTCCACCATGCTTACAACCTTGATCCATTCACTGCCAGGCTGACACCCCGGGCTGCACCAACCAGGCGTGCGGGTACCGCGACCTGTCGGCCGAGCTTGGCGAGCTCGGTTATGACGTCTACGGCCTCAGCAAGGACAAGCCCGCTGCCCAGCTCAAGGTCAGCGCTTGCATGGGCGTGGCTGACGACAGTGGAAGACCAAGAAGGAGCTCAAGTACCACCTCCTCTCGGACCCCGAGAGCAAGCTCATCAAGCGGCTCGGCGCTTTCATTGCCCCAAGCAAGTGAGTACCTGCCATGCCCCGGCTTTCGGCATGGTGACGTAGCTAACGTCAGCACCAAGCGCTCGCACTTCATCTTCGAGAAGGGCTCGGGCAAGCTCATCGAGGCTGCTCTGGGCGTCAAGGCGGCTGAGGAGTGAGTGTTGCGGAAGGCGCGCGGGCCGTTCAACGGCTCGGCTGCTCGGAGTTATCATTCTGCATGGATCATCAACTAACACCAGCCCTAAGAACGCACTCAAGTTCCTCCAGTCGCACCACAAGTAGTCTTGGATTTTGTATCTCGGGTTTGTGTTATGTCAATGGTCGTGTAAGGTTCCATGCAGCCCGCCTGATCCTTCGAGTGTCCGTTAGTTGTAAGCTGCAGGCTGCCTGCGCGGTGATGCTCGGTCTGAGCTGCACTCAGGTCATGGTGGTGGGGGAGCTCTCTTGCATAATACAATGCCCAGGCGCCTGACTGTTGAACCCACACACGCGCCGGACTTAACAGAGCGCTCGTCGCGGCAAGAGATCTGACGTCATTTGGAAGGTTAGCCCCAGTGCTCAGTTGTGTAGTACCTTATCGATCGAGGGCCAGCGAGTTCCAACTGGAGACACAGCGAGTGTGTTTCGTATATCGCGATTCCGCATAAAGGGCAGATAGCAGACCTCCGCCATTGTCGAGTTACAGCGTAGCGCCGTGACAACCCAAACACACCCCTCTCCCCTCTCCCCTCTCCCTCGCCAGGCCTTGGATGAAGCATAACAGTTTCGGTTGCGCTTCTTGCTTGCATGTCTTTTGGTCGCAATTGGGCGTGCCCGCAGCAAGTCGTCGCACGAGATCATCCACGCGGCCTTTGCTGCAGACAGGACTGGTCTGCTCCTGCCGTCAATTGCTCCTGGTCTACTGTTGATCAGTGACTCTCTGCTGGCGCTGTTGGGTTTCAGGTAAACCGGGCGCCGAGGGCGTAGGCCGAGGCCTAGGCTTTGTCGACGGTGAGCGATGACCTGTGTGCGGGCGCATCTGTTGAGGTAGGCGACGTTCAATCCGTTGAGCTAGCCAAGCGTTCCGGGGAGACCAGGTTATTCGTCAGCAATGAGAGCCTCTTGATGCTTGGCTGGAGCGCGGACCAGTATGTGGGCGACATCAGCATATGTGATGGTGTCGCGAGGACCTTCGGGACATTGGCGCCAAGCCATGAGCACCATGGTCAGAGTACAGAGGGCGCAGGAGGCATTAGTCGACAGAGCGAGACTGGACACGGTCGGCTTCGAAAAATTTCATACAGCATAAATACCTACATTGAACAAGCCCACTCACCACGCAGCGACACTCTAAGACAAAGCTGCACGCCATGTCTCACAGCCTCGCCGAGTGACAAGCCCGGCAAGTTGGAAAGAGGACCACAGAAGCCTAAAGTCAGCGCCATCGCCCCAAGGTCAAAGGGTGTGGGAAGGAGGTTTCAGAAAAGTTTGTTTAGGTAGCGTGGGTTTTTCAGCAGAGGCCACCGGGCCCATCCCGCCCCACCAAGGTGGGAACGAGGGGGCACAGTGTCCCTAAAGCCAAATGCACTCGGGTCATCAAGTACTGCAGTGCAGCGTGGGGGCAGATTCTCACCATTTGCATGTGCCAAGGTACAACGTGTCGGAAGTCGGGGGAGAAGGGGTAGAGGATAAAGGGGAGAGGGGGATGATGGATGGGAATAATAGGAAGGGGGAAGTCGATCAGAAAGCCCTCGCGCGCCCACGGTCGGCCGTTGCCCTCCCTTTCGGTCAGGCGCCAGCGTCCCGCCAGCTTCTTCGTGTCCGGAGACAAGTACTCTGTGAAGAGCGGCGAGGGGCTATATCATCGCCTCGACGTGGAAAATGTGGCTAGTGTGAACTAGCGAGAGTGAACGGTTACTGTAGAGAGATCTGGGCGTTAGCGTCTATGACTCGCAATATAGAGATGGGAAGACATCCGCTGAAGCGAGTGGCGGCGAGCGCGCAGGCTTTCCAGGACGCTCAACAGCAGCGCCTCGCTGGATGCGATGGCGCGCTGGGGCAGGGGGTGGGAAAGGAGGGGGGTACTCACCCTACAGAGTGTGGTCACTAGAGAAACGTAGATGCATCTCGCCTTGCTTTTATGCACCGCCGGGGGCGGGGCGAGCCGGCGATATCTGAAATTTCTTAGTTCCGGACCCGTGGCGGTGGAGGTCCTCCATGTGGGTCGTGGCTGATTTCGTCGCCGCGACGGTGCGAAATCGCCGGCCACCGCTCAGAGTAGCAATGCAGGCGCTGAACGGGGCGAAGAGCGGGGCGAGAGCGTTGAATTGGCATTGCTTGTGAGGGAGATGCTCACAGAACAGGGGCGAGGAGGAGCTGAATGGGAAATTGGTTCGAAGCTCTTGCACACAACGGCGCCTGGCTGACTGAACAGTCGCGGGGCGTTCACCGCCGGAAGGCCATTGGTGGAGTTGTTGGCCACAGCGGAGTTGCCCGTCCGTGGTCACCGCCGTCACGTAGGTCCGCCATGAGAAACCAAGGGCTTGCGCAAAGCTGTGGATGTCCGCACCATTCCGGTTCACTCTCATTCTCACTTCGCATACAGCCTCCCTCGACATGCTCACCCTTTCCGTCGCGCTCATGTAGACATCATAATCATCTCCCGCGAACGGGTGCTATACAGGGTGCCCGCAAGAAGCGAGGCTTTATGCGCTGCGCAGCGCGTGAGCCCGAGATCAACCACACACCGGCGCGCGTCTAAAACACACAGTCTAGAAGCCCGTCGCGCCGGGCGCCTTCTCGCCCTCGCGGCGGAGAGCAAGAAGAATCTCCTTCATGCGCGCGAGGTCCGAGCCGCCAGCGACACTCGGCCGGATCGTCTTGGACTCTGTGCGTGAGCGAAACCCATACTGACATCTGGGGAGCGAGAGTCAGCACTCCGCTTCGACTTACGCGAGTTCTCGAGACCGATCAGGTCAGTAATGCGCTCCCACGTAGTGCCACGAGCAATGTCGTCCTTGAGCTGCTCGATGAACTTCGCCTCGTGCTCCCTGCCGTTAGCTCCAAGCTTGGCACACGTTCGGAGCCCTTGGACAAGGTCAGGCCATAAGGCTGCAAGTTCGAGCAGCGTAGTCGCTGCGTTGGCGGGCACTCACTTGTTCTCCCGAATGTTCTTCTCCTTCTGCTTGTTGTAGTCCTCGTAGAATTGGTCAATGGCCTTCTCGGCCTTGTTGGCCATCTCGTCCCGCTTCTCCTGATCGGCAGCATTTCGGCGTTTGATCTCCTCAGCCTGCTTCTCGCGCCACTGGCGGATGGGCTCGGTCTCCTCCTCAGTCTCGGGGAGGGTGTTGGTGAACTGGGGCGCGGGGAGAATGCTTGCTGCGGAGCGAGGCTGGGGGGCAGCGGTTGGAGGATAAGGAGACTGGCCATATGGCTGAGCCGACAGCGCGTTGAACACTGGCTTTGGGGCCGGCGATGTCTGATGTCAGTAGACGACCAACCACGATTTCGCTGCCACAGCGACATCTTCAGACGAGGCTGAGGAAGCCTAACGGGGCACCTTTGGGCTCGCCGCTACAAGACTTACTGCAGATGGCATCTCCGATGACAGATCGGGGAAGGCGCTCTCGAACTTGTCGAGATCCTCGTCCTCTCCCAGCCCGACGTTGCCGGTAACGCGGACCTGCGACGAGCCTACGCCGGAGAAGTCGTCCAGCTCGGGAAACGCGTCAAGGCCGCTGGGCGACTTGATGGGAGACGCCGACTTCACGGGCGACGTCGACTTGACAGGGCTAGCGGGCTTGGCGGGCGCTGGGGAACGTGAGCTCCAGTCTGGCCACGAACCGCGCTCCTGCCAAGGCGAGCGGTTCCACGGGTGCATTGCGGGAAAGGGGACAGCTGGGATGGATAGGGAGAAGTGGAGAGTGTCAAAGGCCTTTTGATACACGTAGATGGCCTGGAGAGACGTGCACCGCGAAACTGGCACTTACCATCGTCGAGGTCCGGGAACGCGTCCATGCCGCTGCCCTGGCCGCCATTACCTGAGCTCACGCCGGGGATCTCGCCTGGAGCGAAGAGGTCGGCGTTGTCGCCGAGAATGGCCTTTTCGCGGGCAAGGAAGTCGGCAGTGGGGTCGTCGGACATGGTTGCGGAGTGTGTGATGCCTGCTCTGACATTGATGGGCGTTCATGACGCGGCACAATGCCGACATGCGTGGAGGTCCAGATTCATCGCGTGGCAACAACGTGGCAGACTCCGCAATCTCCGCCCCGGTGGCGGTGATGTTTGGTTCCTCCCTTCGCATCAGCTCCATGAGCGACGAGACGCGTTGGCTGATGCTAAGACATTCATCTTGAACACAATGCCCGTTCCACAGCCAGAAGCGTGGAAGAACATCGTGGGCGCGCCAATTCACGAGGGCTTTGTGCTCATGGCGCTCAGTGCGCTCGATGGTCTCGTCGATAGGCACTACCTTCCCACCCAGTACGTTTAATGCCGAGAACACCTATCTGACTCGTAGACGCCACGTTCAGCTGCTCCTGCACCTTGTAACCGACCCAAAGGTTAAGCAGGAAGATCTCCGCCGGGTCTCATCGCCCCTCTCCATCCTCTACCGCTACCTCGACCTGTTTGGGTCCGACCTCCTCCCGTTGATTCCACAGTTACACAAAGGCGCCACTGCCTACGATAACCTGAGAACTCCAGACTGGCTGGCATGGAAGCCAAACGGTCAGCTTGAGCGTGTTGTGCGCAAGCGAGTATTGGACGGCGCGAAGCACGGCATCTGGGTCTTCCTTTCCGAGCCAGTCACCAAGATGGCGTCCCCAAAGAAGGTGTTCAAGAAGCGACGACGTAAAGGGGATGAGGACTCGGAAGACGAGCGTGAAACACCTTCGATCTCGGACGATGGTTGGGGTGTGCTTGAGTGGCTCGTGGCACTATGGTCCAAGTCACCACCCTCACTCCTCCAGCAGCTACATCAACCTGCCTCAGCCAGGCTGCAGTATGATGACGCTGGTATAGTCTTCACGCTTGTGCGCGCCGCCTTTCTCCCAACAGATCCTCCAACGCCGCCTAGTGTCCTATTTACTCGCCGAGAAACAGCGGGCAGGCTTCTTTCCCTCTTGATCGATCTTGCGCGCCCTCCCAAATCGCCGTTCCACACGCAGTCACTAGTGCTCTCGTTGGTCACTGTCTTTCGCGTGCCCCCAACGCATATCCAGGCCCTTTCCCGAGCGATCAGGGACTGGAATGCGCGTGCGTATATCCTTGCAGTTGTCCTCGAGGATGCAGCTGGGGTGCGCAAAGAGCGTGAGGCCGCGCGTCGCTCCAATGTCGCAAGCCGCTCAACCTCACGCGCCCCTACAGTCATGACTACCAGAGCGTCGGGCACGGCAGCAACCCGTAGCCGGAGCACAACGCTCGCGATCGAGGCCATCCCGGGCGTGATGAGTCTTTCCATCCCGTTCCAGGCGCCCGACGTTGGCTACGTGCTCGACCTCCTCGCTTTGGAGGGTGACGACCGCTCACCTGTCCTCGCCGCCGAGCTTGTGTCCCTCCTCGTCTCACATGTACCTCAGGACGATGCCTGGATGCGCCTCGACGACAAGTTCATCCGCGAGTACGACGGTGTGCTGGGCCGCGTTCTCATCATGGCCCGCAAAAAAGCCGACACAGCGAAAGGGCGCAAGTCGACCATCGGCGTCACAGTTACGTTCACGAAACCCGATGAACAAATGGACGTCGATAGCGAGACGCAGAGCACCATGCCGCTAACACGATCGCAGCTTGCGCGATTTGCAAACGAGAACAAGGCGGGGACCGCTCCAAGTGGTACCTCCTCACCACTTTCGTCGCTTTCAGCCAGTACCGGTGACGGCGAGGAACGGAAGGAAAGCATCTCACCGCAGCCCACGTTGGAGACAGTGCCACTGGGCAGCGCGCAGCTAGCCCAGTTTGACGATATGGTTAGCGGAGACGAGGAAGAGGGGATGGAGGAGTCGCAGCTTCCCCCCGAAACGCTTCCGTTGACCAAGGAGCAGCGCGCTAAGTTTGCTATCGATGACGACATGGAGAGCGCCGAGGGATCGCAGCCGCAAAACGAGGAGGATAAGAGCGACGAGGAGGAGTTGCAGCTGCCGGCGGAGACCTTGTCTCTCACTACGGCACAGCGGGCCCAATACGCTGAAGAGCTTGACGGCGAGGACGAGGGCTCGCACATCGCATCCACGCCCGCGAAACAAGTGTCACCTGCTGATAGTGGTAGAGAGGCGAGCGTGTCTGACATCATAGGCCAAGCACTATCGCCAGGTGACAGTGTTAAAAGCGAGGGATCGCAACTACAAGCCGAAACACAACAATTGACACGTTCCCAACGGCGAGCACTGTATGAAGACGAGGAGTCGCAGTTCTCTTGATATATGTAGCATGACCATAATTGTATATTACTCGTCCAGACGTGCGAGAACATCGCGCTTGTCCTTTTTCCCGCCCTTGCCATGGCCCTTGCCGTTATCTTTGCCTGTATGTCCCTCTTCGCCGTCGACACACGTGCCCTCTTCGCGGGCGCGCACAAGCCAGAACTCGTCAAGCACACTTGAGTTGCGCGCTGCAACAAACTCGTGCCGCATGTGTGTGGCGTTGGCAAACGTGAGCCGCGACCAGCCGTACACGCCGTCTATACCGTGCGCGACATTCGCTGGGAGGGGCGAGTCGAGAACGTCAAGACCGTCATAGTGTCCGCCGAGTCCGTTGGTGATGTACGTCGGCGCCCGGGGGTTGTCGTACCCCGCGGGGTCAGCGGTGTCTGGCATCAGCGCTATTCTCCTTTTGGCTTACGGTTGAACATGGGAACGGAGCGGGAGTAAACGTGGTCGTGGCCGGTGAGGACGAGATCGACATTGTTCTCGTACAAGATGCCCTCGAAGGCTAGGCGGCACGGCTCACAGACCGCGTCGGCGATGCCGACGTACCACGGCCGGTGACCGAACGCGAGCACCCATGGGGTCTTCTTGCGGTCGACTTTGGCAAGGTCCTGGCGCAGCCACTCGATCTGCTCGCCGGTCTTCCCGCGCGGCCCACTCATCTGCTTGCCAGTCCCACCGACCTCGTCCGGCCCGTACAGACCCTCGCCCAGGTCTGTCTCGAAACTCAGGACGACATAGTGCACCATGCCCACGTCGTACGAGTACCAGAAGTTCTGGCTCGGGCCGGGGCGCCCAGGCATATTCCAGTGCTCCGCGTACGCGGTGAAGTTCGTCTGGCCGGGCATGCAGATCTGCGCCGTGTAGCTGATGTTGTTGACCTTGTCTTTGACTCCGCCGTTGTTGCAGTTGCTCTCATGGTTGCCCACGGCGACCATGTACGGCCGCTGCGAGGTAAGTGGAGTGATTTGGTCGTACCACGCCTCGTTGAGACGCTCATAGTTCTCCACAATTGAGGTTGCATTCGTCAGCACGTTGTCCGCGCCGTAGAAGCCCTGCGTCGACGCCTTAAGGAAGTAGTCCGCGTACGCCAGATCGCCAATATGCACTGGGGTAAGCACACCATCAAAGGCTGGCTCACCAATGTGCTCGTAAGCGTCCAGGCTCTGCACCATACTCTGGATAGTGTTCGTCTCGTTGTCCAGTAACGCGCCGCCGGCCCCCTTGCCGGTCGAGTTTGTAAGCCCGTCGGGTCCCATGAGGCCCATGTCTGCGACGATCGCGACAGCGTAAGGCGTGCAGTCGCCGGCCGGGAGCGCAGTAGTGAACGAGTACGTCGGAATCGTGCTGCACCCGAAGCAGTTCGTGTGTGCTACGCGATAGTGATATTCGGTGCCCGGCTCGAGCCCCGAAAGGATTGCGTGATGGCTGAACGTGCGGGACGTCTCAAAGGTGCTCTGCCGCGACGGCGCGGTGCGGTCGAGCTCCCACGCATCCGTTCCGAAGTACACCACCGCTTCCTCGTCCGGGAGTGAGGTGTACGTGTTCCAGCTGACGGCCATGGCCGTCGCGTTGATGTACGCCAAGCGTTGCTGCAGCGGCTCGATAGGGTTCCAAGGGCGTTCGCCCGGCACAGTCGTGAGTGGGTACGACTCATTCTTGAACGGCTGGCGTTAGCAGCAGCAGCACAAGCGCCTTCCATGCTGAGGACTCACGACAGCGGCCGCGAGGCGCGCAGCTAGCACCAGTGTGAGCATCATCGTCAGCGGATGAAAGCAGGCCATTCCATCGTGTCCTCGTTATAACCCTATCGCGCCCCGCACCATGTCTCGGTGTCCGTGAGTGGGCTCGTCACTGACGGCGAGGTAGACGCACGTTCCCGCCGCTAACGACCTGGCTGACAACTTCATTGCAGAAACTAGCGTCCTCTCCAGGGTGAAAGTTGCGGCGAGCCACTCAGCGTGCCCGAATTAGACGCAAGGAGCTCTTGCGTCGTTATCGTGAGGACCATGTCAATTGCCGCCCGGCGCACGTGCGTGAGCTGTATGGATCCTCACCGGACATGACCGCAAGTTCTTGGTCATGATTTTCGAACAGACAGGCAGACAGAAGGCTGCACGAGAGCAGGGTCGGATGCTTGTAGCAAGTGCAGCAAGCGTCGGAGGGCTTGCATCCTGACTGATGTTGGAGGAGAAAGTAACAGAACGTGAACACGGGAAAAGATCAAGAGGCGATGGACGGGAATAGATATTCATACATCCAGGATATATCCGAAGGAGAGACTTGCAGTTGCGGTGACATCTGCATGACTGCGTTTGACATGACTGCAAAGGGCTGCAGGTCACATTCTCTACATCCTCCTAGCTCGGGCAAGTTGCATCTACTTCACCAAGTTCCAAAGATCCGAGAGACGAGTAACAAGATAAGGAGACCAGACACAAACGGCTGCGTCCACTCTCGAGATCGCGTGCGTGCGGAGCGGACATATCCGACTCTCCGCCAATGCCGACTCAACTTCCGTTGTCCGCGACAAGTTGGCCGGCAGACAAAGAGCGGTTACCAACCATCCTTCCATCTGCTCTACTCTCCACAACTAAAATGGTCCACACCCTCGTGATCGACAACTACGACTCGTTCACGTGGAACGTCTACGCGGACCTTGCCCGTCTCGGCGGCAACCCTCTCGTTGTGCGCAATGACAAGATTACACTGCCCGAAATCGAGGCGCTGCACGCCAAAGGCGAGATTGACCGCGTTGTCATCTCCCCTGGGCCCGGTCACCCACGTACCGACTCGGGCATCTCGCGCGACGTGATTATGTGGGCTATGGGGCGCGTGCCGGTGCTAGGCGTTTGCATGGGGCTAGAGTGCCTCGTTGACGTTCTCGGTGGCGAGGTGAGTTGAACAGGTCGAGGACAATACGTTCCGAGTCGTGGGGAGCGCACGAGGGTGGAATGAGTGTGGCGCGGTGGCGCGCTCCTCAGCATCGAAGCTGGTCGTTCAGCCGTTCCTATCGGGGCTTCTCTCTTTCGCCTACCACTCCGTTGTGTGATAAGCGCTGACAATAGATCGCATATGCTGGCGAGATCAAGCACGGCAAGACGTCGCTCGTCAAGCACGATGCTATGGGTCTTTTCCACGAGCTTCCTCCTCTTCTCGCGTCGGTCCGCTACCACTCTCTCGCAGCCAGACTCCTTACCCTTCCCCCGATCCTGCAAGTCACCTCGACGACGGAGGAGTCTGGCGTGATCATGGGCGTGCGTCACCGGAAATACACCGTCGAGGCGGTCCAGTACCACCCCGAGTCGTGCATGAGTGAGGGCGGGCAGGGGCTTGTCGCCAACTTCCTCAAGCTCAAGGGCGGCGAGTGGGGCGGCGAGAACGCCTGGTGCGGCGTTCCCCCCAGCACGGAGGCCGACGTCAACAAGGCGACTGCCCCCGCAGTGCCTGTCGCGAATGGGACCAAGCCAGAGGCCGCCAAGGAAAAGAAGGGGCCGTCAATTCTTGACCGTATTGCTGCACAGCGCCTCAGCGATGTTGCGGCTGCCTCGGTGGCGCTACCCACCACGCCGGAGAATCTTGCGTCGGCGCTTAAGTTGCATACGGCGCCGCCACTCATCTCGTTCGTCGACCGTGTCAACAACACTCCCCACACGGCTGTCATGGCCGAGATCAAGCGCGCATCGCCGTCCAAGGGCGAGATCGCGCCGACTGCCAGCGCTCCTGAGCAGGCACTGCGATATGCGGCAGCCGGGGCCTCTGTCATCTCAGTGCTTACTGAGCCGACTTGGTTCAAGGGCTCGCTGAGTGACATGCTCGCTGTCCGGCGGGCGGTGGACTCGATGCCGAACCGTCCCGCAATCCTACGCAAGGACTTTATCCTCGCGCCATACCAGATCGACGAGGCGCGTCTGCACGGCGCTGACACGGTTCTCCTCATCGTTGCGATGCTTACCCCCGCCAAGCTAAAGGAGCTGTACAACTACTCGCTCAGCCGGGGGATGGAGCCGCTCGTCGAGGTCAACAACCCCTCAGAACTGGAGGTGGCTCTCGAGCTCGGCGCCAAGGTAATCGGCGTCAACAACCGTAACCTCCACGACTTCAATGTGGACATGTCGACGACGAGCCGAGTCAACGACGCACTGAAGGGCCGCGACGTCATCCTCTGCGCGCTCTCCGGCATTTCGAGCCACGCCGACGTCGCAAAGTACGTGGCCGAGGGTGTCCGCGCCGTGCTTGTGGGCGAGAGCCTTATGCGCGCGCCGGATGCCGGTGCATTCCTCCGCGAGCTCATCGGGTTGCCTGCTGCTGAGAAGCCTGCGCCTACCAAGCCCCTCGTCAAGATCTGCGGTGTGCGCTCTGCTGCAGACGCGCAGCTTGCCATCGACGCCGGTGCCGACCTCATCGGCATTATTTGCGTGCTTGGTACGAAGCGGTTTACGCCTCCCGAGACCGCACGTGAGATTGTCGAGGTTGTGCGTGCTGCTCGGGCTAAGGCGTCCTTGAGCAAGCCGGAGCCATCCCCCCTTTGGTTCGGAACAATGGCTGCGCGCCTCCGCGCCCGCCGTAGGCCACTCGCCGTCGGCGTGTTCCGCAACCAGCCCGTGGAAGATGTTGCGGCGGCCGTCGACGACATCGGTCTCGACCTCGTCCAGCTGCATGGCGACGAGCCGCAGTCGCACGCTCGACTGCTGCCCGTTCCGGTGATCAAGGCGTTCCGCGTTGTCGACGGCGCTGTGCGCGGGGGCGACGCCGCTCGTCCAGGGCTGAACAGCTACGTGCTGCTCGACGCGCCGTCGAGCTCGGGTGGTGCGGGTGGCGGCGAGGGCGTGTCCTTCGACTGGGGTGTGGCGAAGCGTCTGGCGGACGCTGGCGAGGCCGGTGGCGCTGCTCGCCTTCCCATTATCCTGGCCGGTGGACTCACGCCGGAAAACGTTAAGCAGGCAGTCGAGGCCGCCGCCGGCGTGCTCGCCGTGGACGTGAGCTCAGGTGTGGAGAGCGCCGATGGGAGCAAGAATGCGGAGAAGGTGCGGGCGTTCGTCAAGGCCGTCAAGGGATAGTTATAGATTGGTGTCTAGGGATGCATGGATTAAGCTAGTATACATCTACTTTGCACTGCGCACTGCGTCATGCTAGTGCGCCACCAGCCTCGCCCATAAGTCTCTTCTGCTCCTCGAGCAGCTTCTGGCGCCGATTCTTGAGCGCGCCAATCTTGCGCCGTTGTGCGATGCTGAGCCCCTTGTCCCGCATGTCGATGCCATCGAGGGCGCACTCTCGCCGAGGCACGTTCTTGGGCTCCACCGCGCGACTGCTTCCCTGGATCTCGGCGAGGCGTCCCTCCAGTCGTTGGATATGGGCGTCCTCTACCTCAAGCAGTTGCGCACTTCGTGAGAGCAGGGGCTCAAGCTGCTTCTCGATCGCGGCTGCGTACTCTGTCCGGCGGCGCTGTACTTCAGGCGCGGGAAGAACGAGATAGTGCTGCTGTCAGCGGCGACATTAAAGGCTCTGATAAATGAGTGCAGCAGAGGTCCATTCCAAACCTTGCACGGGGGAAGACGGTGACCACTCACATGCTGCGCCCGCAACACTTTCTTCAACCGCCCCATGTCGCGTACGCCTGGCTCGAGCTTGGCGGTGACACTCCCCAGCTGTGGTTAGCCTCATTATGAAAGATACGCACAGTTTCAACACACGCGCTTGCGGCGTTGACACACGCGTCGAGTGGTGACACGACGTCGACGACCATGCTTTCGCGCATTCTGCTCGGGCGGGCGGCCAGGGAAGGCAGCGCCGACTGACGGTAGTACGATTGTCGGGACATCGTGGATGACAAGTGGAGCAAAGGGAGCAGTGCAATCTAGATCTCGCGACTGTTGGAGTGGCTGCTATAGCGAGGTTGTTGTTGCGTGTGTCTTTGAGAGTGGATCTGATGGATGTGACAGGCTTTGTTGTTGTGATTGCGTGGGTGGAGGGAGAACCGTGCATTAGGGCATTTGGCCCCGTCAATAAGCAGATTAGGAGTGCACATTAGCACAGGCAGGCACGATTTCCCCACGCGCTTCCCTCCACCCCGGATTGTTAGCTCGTCAGCCCCTCGGCTTCGGAGTCTCTGTCATCGCCAACTTCGCTCGCGGCCCACGTCGACCGCCTCAGCCATGCCGCGACGCCCATTCGTCATGGGACCCATCTCGGACGCCGTGAGCACGCCAGCGTCGCTGTGCGCGCACGGTTACGATGTCTGCTGCGCCCGAGCGCCCCACATCCCTGTCTCGGCGGTGCGGGGTGAGGACAACGTCGGTCGCGAAGCCCCGACGCCACCGGCCATCGAGAGAGTGCGGTGTGCGGCGTGACGCTTGGCAGGCGACTCGCGGCGGAGGAGGCGCACACGAGCTGATTGAAATGGCCCCGGATCTCACCCTGGAGAATAACATTTCTGCATTCCACAGCTATCTGACCTAACATGCCTCACCCGGCTCGAAGACTCCTGCGGGCTTGCGAGGCGTCACGAGCTCACGGATTTGGACTCGGCGCGACGGACGACAAGGCGCAGCAGTAACGGCGTTGTTGGGCAATAGGCAGCGGAGGGCATGGAGGGTGGGGGGGGAGGGGGAGGATGTCACGGACTCTCGCTTCGCACGGCGCTCCTCGAAGCGCAGCGCACGGACCAGCGACTGTAGATCCGTCCTCGGTCGTCGATTCTCTTCATCGACTCTTGCATCCTCACCTTCCCTCCTTCGCTCATTCTCCCTCTTTTCTCTCCTCTCCTCTCCTCTTCGTTTCTTGTTCTCTACTCATTTTTCCTCACCGTCACCTAGCTGCAGGTGCTTCGCTTCGTTGCCTCTCATCCCAGCAAACGGGGCCATGCCCGACGTTTCCATCACGTACGCCCCTCTTCTCCCATCACCATCACTGACGCAAGCGCGCTTCATGACCCCGTGTCCATCGTCCACGTCCCCGTCAGCGCGGCGCCGGCGGCAGCGACCAAGATCTTCTGGACGCTCGACCGCGCCGTCGCCGACGAGAGCGAGTTTTGCAACCTCACCTCGAACCGCATTGAGGTGAGTTGAGTGAATTCAGATCTGCGTGCGTAAGGGACGGTTGCACGGCGACGGGCGCCCGCTTGTTCGCTAAGCTTGCCGGGTGCGAGGCAGCTTGCACTGGGGCGTGTCTCGCATGTCTCACATCTCGCGCATTTCGCACCTTGCACCTTGCATCCCGCACCAGGAACTCTCGCAACACGCGTGATCGGTCTCATTCGCCACCTCCACCCTGTCCGCACCTTTTTTCCGCTCATTCCAGATCGCACTCTTCGCCCCAGCTCACCTCGTCGTAGAGGAGTGGGGCGTGCACCAGGAGGACGGTATCGTCGTCAACGGCCCGTGGCGCGTATTTGAGGTGGCGACTGGTGATGCGGGTGGCGGCGGAGGCAACTACGGTGTGTGTGACACAACGAGCGTGGCTGACGACAGACTCGCCGCACCTCCGGCACGTGTCCGCCCCACTGGCTGAGGCAGGCATCTCAATCCTCTACCAGAGCTCTTACTTTACCGACTTTCTTCTCGTAAAGAGCTCTGACTTTGAGCGCGCTAGTGCTATTTTCCGTGGCAAGGGTTGTGAGTGGGCGTGATGACTGCCCGTCCCCAATATCAAGCGCACGGCCATGGGAAAGCTGACGGCAGGGAACTGCGACCCCGTCTTCCTTCCACCGACTCGCCGACGCTCTGAACTCATCCCCCCCGATATTGTGGCACAGGCCACCCTAAACAGTTCGCGCGTGGCAAGAGTCGACACGCCCGCTGACACGCCACCTGTGGCGGAAATCACCGTGCTTAGCTCTCCGCTTGCGTGTATCGGTCTTTCAGCTGATGTGGAGGCATCGTTATCTGACCGGCTGCGCAAGCTCCTGGTGTGGCCTGAGCGCTCGGTACTCGCCCTCGAGCGTGCACGCGGCAGGAAGGCAGACGACGCGGCCGACGCGTTCGAGCGGCGCAACCGTTCCAAGCGTGCCGGGAACTTTGGGAACAGCAACAGACCAAGTCTGGCGGCTGAGGCGTCCGCACGAGCCCTCACTCGCCCTAGGCCCTTCATCTCATACACGCGCACCGAGGACGGCTCATCCGTGATGACCGAAGTCCGCGTGCTGCGTGCGATGCTGAGTGCGGCGGAGCGTGCAGACCTAGGCGCACCCGAGCTTGAAGGCAGTGATTCTGAGTGGAGCGATGACGAGGTTGACACGCCGGCATCCATGGCGTCGGAGGACGAGGTCGCCAGCTCGTCACGTTCATCACGCGGCCGCACCACTTTGTCGCAGTCGGGGTACTCGCTGCGCGGGCGCGACGCGACAGAGATCCCCATCCACTGGGCGACACCGCCCAGCACACCCAGCTCCGCCCGCTTCACGGGCGTCGGCGTTTTCACTCCAATCATGCGCAGCGCCTCAGGCTCAGGTAGCACGGAGCGCGAAGCGCGTCGCCGCGAACACTCCCGCGCCGGGGTGCTGTCGGAGCGCGATGTGGAGCGGGCGCGTGAGCGCGAGTACGAGCGCGAGCTGGAGCGTGAAGCGCAGCGCGAATACCGGAGCGCGCGCGAGGCGTCGCTTTCGCGCCTGTCGGCGTCGAGCCGGTCCTCGCGGAGCCAGCACTCGCGTGCGCGCAGCGACACTGTCTCGGTCGGCGTGCTGCAGCACCGCGCTTACCAGGGCGGGCTGGGATTCGTGGATCCGCGTGTGCGGCGCGCGTCCGAGGGCGGGCCGCGCGAGTGGGTGCCGGACGCGACCGAGGCGGCGGACGAAGCGATCGCGGAAGACTCGAGCGGCGAGAGCGAGCGTGAGCGCGGCCGCATGATGCGCTGCCTCCAGCTCGACCTGCGCGCCGTCGGCCGCGGCGCGTACCATCTCGGTACGTCCAGTCTTGGTGCGTGTGCGCGTGGCGTGGCTGACGGCAGATAAGAGTGGACTGGTGATGCGCTTCTCGGACCAGCTGCACCGCGGCGGCGTGCGCATGCTCTACTCGTCGACGACGCACACGGCCAACATCCTCGTCGAGGGACGCGACGTGGTGCGCGCTGAGCGCGCGCTGCGTTCAGACTAGGTACAGAGGTACAGAGCTAGCACCGTAGCGTGTTTGCACAGCGAATTCCGTGCTTGGCTGCGGCAGCGCAGTCGCTGCTGACTAATAACGCGAGCATGCACATTATTCAGTGTCGCGGGTACCCTCGCTGCCGAGCTGCCGCGGCTGTGGAGTGCCACTTGCGGTTCAGGGTGGATTGAATTATGGACGATGTCATGGTGGGGGTATGGCGAGCCTCCGAATGTTCTGCACATGCCCGCCGCCAATGATCACATTCCTGGGCAATCCCGCTCGTCAGACAGTGCAGTGGTAATGCTCAGCAGCTACTACGCAGAGTCACATGCTGCACAGCTGCACAGCCGACGGAAGCGAGCGGCCAGTGCCAGCACCTCATTGACATCCCAATCGCTCGCCTCGCGTAGAATTGCATGTGGCACTGTAGCCTTGAAGGGCTATGCCACCCATCCTTCGCAGTCAGCAGAACGACTCTGGCCAACATGATAGGAGTGCTCAACGCTCGTGCGGAGCGGGTGTACATTCGATGCCAGTCTACAGTTATGCGATGTGAAATGTAACAATGAGATGATGGATCCGGGGCGCGCACTGCGGCGGAAATGCAGTGTGCAACTGTTGGATGATGTATGTTGGTGGCGGATTAAAGCGCGGCTGTACCGCGGAGACCCGGTATAAAGAAAATACCTGCGTGGCGAGATGTCTACCAGCCCCGCCGCGTGAAAGGGGGGATCGGTGCGAGGAACGAGTCACGCATCGATCCACGGATTGACCCGCGAACGGTAGAGGCATCGTCCGAGTCCATGTCGTCGGTGTCCGAGTTCATGAGCATGCCGAGGCGCAGAGACGAGGAAGGTGGCTGGAACAGCTCGTCGTCGGGAGAATAATGGTTGAGGTTGCGCTCCAGGCGCTGAGCAGTAGTGTGCTCAACGCCGGGATTGCGGGTTGCTTGGGGCCACAATAGCTGGGGACCGGCGGACAGACTCTCCTCAACGGTAGATTCTGATGACCTGTACAGCTCTGGTGCGTCGCCCATGGTAGAAGAGAATCGTGCGTTGGTAGGGGTAGCGTTAGACGACGCGGTCGGGAAGCGCCAGCCCTCCATTGGCGGGTGGTGAGCGGTGGGAGTGAGATGCTTGCGGCGAACGGGGGTGAGGCCAGGCGAATCTATCCGGCTCCGCGGGGCACGCGGGAGGGCGGGGCCTGCGTTTTGCGGCGTAAAGGTTATACTGCGACGGACGCTAAGCTTTGGGGAAGCCGAGCGGCGGTGGCGGGGTTTGTGGGATGGTGGGACGGGTGAAGCAGTAGCGAGATACAGGGCGGTATGAGACTCGGAGAGCGATGAGGTGTGCGCATACATGCTAGGCGGGCGGTGCTGGTTCAGCGAGTTGCGTCGATCTGGGGCGTTTGGAGCGGGTGGGATAATGCTCTTGCGCCGGCGCAGAGGGGGAGATGGGGTCCGAGGGGGGCGGTAGGCCGTGGGCACAAAGAAATCACGTTCTGGCGTGGACTGCCGTCGGCGGTGGTAGCGCTCCTGGACGGGGTCGTCGGGAACACGGAAGGACTCTTCCATGCTTATGATCTCGTCTAGCATGTCATCAACAGCCATGTTCTGAAGAAAAGTGTTGCCACGAGCCATGACGAGCGGAGTATGCTCCTTGGTCTCCCCGGTCAGCCGTCGACGAGCTTCTCCTCGAAGGGTGGAAACAGCGCTTGGCACTGGGTCGGCGAATTCGTCGTCGTCCTCCATAATGGCATCTTCGATGACGACAGAGGCGGTAAATGGTGTGTGGCTGGAGGTGGAGGGATGGCGGCTGAGACTGCATGATGATGAGCCAAAGGAGTAGGTCGAGGAAGCGGTGGAAGTGTTGCGAGAGTGTGACGAGACCAGCTCGGGCACGGCAGAGGGAGATCGTGTGGACTCTGGCGACAAGCTGCATTCGCCAGCGCGCAGCTTGCGGGACTGTTCGCGGCGCTCGTGGCGCTTCATACGACGGTAGAAGGCCATTTCGTCGTCACCACTATACGTCGCCGAAGTAGTCCGAGAGGGTCGGTCATCAAAGGCGTCGCCGAGGAGAGAGATGGAAGATGCCGAGCGGGCGTGGGTGAGGGATGAGAATGCGTCACCGCGCGCGCAGTCTGTGCGTCAGCGCCTGTGATGGCCCTAATGTAACTCACCAGTACTGCAGTAGTACGTGCCCGTGCGAGTGCGGATTGGATTGCCACAGTAGCAGCGACGTTGAGAGCTGCCTGAGCCATTCAACGCCGCGTTGCTGTGATCGGGGGTCTGAGGAGAGCAAGGTGCAGATGGTTCCCGTGGCGAGCCCGGCTCGCCTCCTCGGATTGTTGAGGCCGTGAGGCGGTTGGGTGTTCGTGACATGTCGACGTCAAGCATGGACATGTTGAGATATAAAAGGGCGTCGGCGCGGAGTATGATAGGAGTTGGGTGGTGCGAGTGATTGGTGATACCGCGACAACGCGTGAGGGAAACGGGCGTGTGCTTCTAGCCGGAGAAGCAAGCACGCGTACGCGCGGGGGACGAAGGCGAGGATAAGTTGCGTGTGTTGGAAGGGCGCGTGGCGTGTATGTGAAGCTGAGCGCCGAGCTGCCTAAGGCGAGAGAGGTTGGGGGCGCGAATGTTTCTGTAGCATACAGAAATCGGGGGTGATGGACGAGTTGGGCGACGGTGAGAGAGCGCAGGAACACTCCAGTTGAGAAGATACAGCAGTAGGACAGGAAGTAGTAGGCAGAATGCGAGGACGATCAAGAGCGAGGGGGGGGGGGGGGTTGACAAGGGTTACTGCGGCGGCCCGTGGGCGAGCGCAAGTTGAGACCGAGTCGGTGACTACTGTTGTGAATGTTGTGGATCTCGGGAGAGGACGGGAAGGAGAAGCCGCGTAGAGTAGCAGTAGAACAGAGCTTGAAGACGAGAGAGAGAGAGAGAGCGAGGCCAGTGCGACGAGATCTTGACTAGATGGGCAGTTTGATGGATGGCGGAGCGTGACAGTCACGGAGCACCGAGCACGGATTGCTCTGTTTTGATGTGATTTTGTAATGTAATGTAATGAGATGATGGGCGATGAGTGATGGGGTGGTGGGGAGTGATGGCGACGACGACGATGAGGATGATGAATGAAGATGGATGATGGATGGAAGAGAAAGAGAGAGAGAGAGAGAGAGATGAAGAGGAGAGTAAAAGAGATGTCGCGTGTTGATGAGGAGCAAGGAGGAGCAAGGAAGGTGAGGAGAGTGATATGACCGCAGTACGTACGCAGTGCTCGCGCCCTGTGCTTCTTCCCCAGCAGGGGCAGGGGGCCACAGGACCAGAGGGCCCAAAGGAGGGCGTGCGCCTCCCAGGGCTCGCCAAAGACGTCAGGGAATTCAGGGCCTCTCCACCCTCTTTCCCAGGTAAGTAATCATGCTGCCCTTTTGCGCCGCCCTGCCCTGGCCAAAATACACCGAAGTGGGCGTGCGGAGTCAAAACAAGTCTGCGCCAGTCCCTGGACCCAGTGGCTTGAACTAGCTGTCCCAGGGGAGGGCGTGCCTGGCCCTTGGAGACGCGTCTCAGTCGTGCTCTTGCTTCTTGTGGCAAGTCTGGGGCCACGGCGAGATCTCCCATGCAGACGCGTTCTCGTCATTTCGAAGGCACATGTCTCTTTGCAGAACAAGTCTTCCATCCTCTCGAGGTCGTTGAGGGCACCGAGGTCACGCGCACGCATGTCCCTCGTGGATGTAATTTTGGGGTGGTCGGAGGAGTAAGTGGGTATTGGCAGTGTTTGGTGGAGTAGTAGGAGAAGAAGGTCGTCAACGGCGAGTGTGGCACCGACCGAGACGCTCAAAATGTCGTGATTGTCAGAGTGCGCAGCCTGCAAGACGCTGCCATCTGATCTCGTTGACATCTGGCGTCTGGAAGTGAGAGGCCACCTCGCTCGCTTGTCTCACGTCCCACCAACCATGAGCAAAGACAGGCGCGACTGCACACCAGCGTCAGGACTCGACGCGTCCACAAGGGCATGCTAAGCATTCACCCGCCCTTCTCCCTTGAACGCCTCCAACGCGTCCGCCGCTACCACCACCCCAAACACCAACAATCCGGCGCGAGGCATCAGGCAGGCGTCAGGCGCAGACTCAAATGCGTGCTTATGCATCGCCTACGCGCTCCGCCACCAGGACTGGAAGACAGCAGGGTCAGAACCGTCTCGAACTGGGCCCCATGGCCCCATTTAGTCGACCAAACATCAACAAACAGGGCGTGTTTCGGACATCTGTTTGACAGCGAGCAGCCCGTCGGATGGGATGGTGACGACAGTGCCATGTGGCGGGTGGTGATGTTTGCTACTGTAGATTCACAGTTGAGCAATTGAGGGGTTCGAGGTGACAGCGCGTGGAGCGTTAGACCTTCCATCTGCACTCCACAAACGTGCACATGGTATTCCGACGGACATCTGCCTTTGCAGCTCGCAGCTTGCGAGTGCGAGTGCAGGCAGAGTACATCGCCCTATGCGGGAGCGGGGAGCGACGCGACATAGGCACCAGGTCCCCTACATTAGTCTGGCCTGTACTCGTACAGTATCGCGACGCGCCGCGCGGCGTCATTCGTGCGGCTCCACCTCCACGCTCGACGTAGGCTGCGCACTGCCGCTCCCAATCTGTAGACGTGCAGACAAAGGACATATGAGACTCCAGAGTATTGGACATCCGGAAGAGTGTGCCACTGGCCACTGGCCACTGACGTCCGTCTGCGCCGTCGTCTAATGTCGACCACGTCTGGCAGCCAAGACCTCATGGCTGCATGGACGCCCCGCACGGCTGAACGCGTCGTCCGGATCGGGCATCGTCGTGCTGAACGATATGGCGTGCAGACACGGCAGGAGACACAGGACCACGAACAAGGCAAGTGGAGCGCTCCCGCGCCTACAGTATGCCGCCATGCGTCCGAGTCACCAGCGCAACGCAATACGTGTGACGCTTCACCTCGAGCCCGCAGATCGCCGATGGCAATGATTGATAGCCTTGCGGGCTGTCTTGGACGACTCAGGGGCGTCACGCGTGACGCCCGTCTGGCGCGTTCTGGTACTGCGGGTGACATTGGTCTGAGGAGCTAAGGGAAGTGAGTGTGGCAGCAATATGCAGAGCACAAGGCCGGACTCATGTCCCAGTGGCTGGCGCGGACGCGTTGTCGTATGCTGGGGATCGAGGTCGGGATCCGGCAGGCGACAGCGACCCGGCTGGGAACCGGCGGTGGTGGGCTGCATTCATTCGCCGCACCCATGTCTGTCCGACGGAAGACGCCGGCGCGTACGACATGCCGGAGAATAGCGTCGAACAAGACGAGACATGAGGCACGAGACATGAGGCACAGATCGCACAGATCGCATAGACTTGCAGCGCCGGAACGGGACTTCTCGTGGGCTAGGAATTGCTGGAATGCATGCACAGCTGCGCCAGACGCTGGATTCTGGATGCGGCGCGAGGGGTGGCCGGAATGGCTGGGTGTCGAGGGGATTCCGCACGTCACCCGTCTTCGTGGATTTGGGCATCGTAAACATGCGCCAGGAAGGCATTAACGTATGGGTGCCATCAATGCTCGCCGAAGCCGTCTGCCTCGCCCTCCTGCCGCGCCGCGAGGGGCGCATACAACCCGTGCTCGGTGCCGAGCGCATACGTGAACGCCATTTGGGAGAGGAGGCTGGGCCCGTCCTCCGGGCTGAGCTCGAGCTGGGGTCAGTCTGCTTCCCGCTCACTCACCCATCCAATGATGTCTTCGAGCATGTGCGCCTGCCCGACCGCCATGCCGGCCATGATCTCGTGCGCGACATGCACGACATGTACGTGGAAGTGGTCTGCGTGAGCCGTGCCCTTCAGATACGCACAATACGACGGCTGGTAGTGCACGAAAAGGCGCAGTTCGCCTTGCGCGACGCCCCAGCGCTCCGCGCACACGGCGTACGCTGCCCCCCGGATGGCGCGGAGGAGGGGGACATGCGCGCGCCGCAAGTCGCGCAGGGAGCGGATGCGCGCGTCGCGCGCGATCGCGGTCAGGTAGAGCGCGGACGGGCTCACCCCGTCCCACTTGAGGTCGGGGAGGAGCGTGAAGCCCTCGTCGCCGGGCGCGGAGAAGAGCACGCGCTCCGCCTCCTTCCGTCCCTCGATGATCGCGTGGACCCATGCGGTGCGCTCGGGTGGGAAGCTTGCGATGTACGGCTCAACGATGGAGGCGTAGAGCTCGGGCGTTTCCGTCAGCAGCCGCCGCGGTTGCGGCGTGTACTTTTTGATGTGGACGTCGGTGCATGGCCAGATGAGCTTGAGGGCGAGGTCGGGGAGGGCGTCCGCGCCGCGCTTGAGGAGGGCGTGCGCTGAGAAGTACTGGTGTCAGTGGGGGGAGGGGTTTGAAGAGGTCGGAAGATGAAGAGCGCGCAGGTAGGTGCTAGAGGGTAAGGGGAAGGGTGCCAAAGGATAGGAGCGCGCAAAGGCAGGTGCTGGGATTACGAGGGCATGGCAGAGCCGCACTCACAGGCCGGTTGTCCAGGAACACATCGAGACTCTCCAGGCCCTCCTTCACGATGCCGGGGGCGGCGGACGGGTCGACAGCCGTCCGCTGCACATGCACGATCGCGGGCTCGCCGTGTAGTCTGCCGAGGAGGTAGCACGAGCCAGTGAGGGTGCCTGTGGTGAGCGGCTGATCAAGCGGCGGACGGAAGCTGTCAAGCATATCAGGTGACCGCGCCGCAAGCTTGGGCCAACACCGTGCTACTCACTCTCCATGAGCACGCGCTCGAACTCGAACGTCTCGAGCGCGGCGAGGTCGCACGGCTTGAGCTCGGTGTCGGCCATGGTATACATCATCACTCTCCACGAACACAGAGGTGAGGACTCGGGTGGAGGCCCGCCTTATTCCCTCCCCCCTTCTGGCTCTATATCCCATCTACATCCTCCCATACTTCCGTCGGCAATCTTTCGCTTGCTTCACGTTGGATCGCGAGGCGCAATGTGCCGCACACCGCGGCGAGCGAGAGGCGCGAGGAGCGTGCGGAGGGTACGGAGTGCGGAGGCGGAGGAGGAGCCGAGACCGGGTATGCCGCGCCGGCAGAAGGACCTACGAAAGGCCCGGCCGGGTATCGCGCGCCATGGCCCGGCTCGATATCGGAGAGCATGGCGGCGGGGGTGGTGGGCGTGGTGTGTGCGGGAGTGATGGGTGTGGCAGTGTGCGGCGCGGGTGGGAGAGGCATGGCCAGCGATGGCCAGCCGAGCACGCGCGCGAGAACTGTGAGCGATCGTAGCCGAGACATTCCTCATGATCTCGTGAGCTGGTGAGCTTGTCCTCGTGCCCGCGTGCCCGCGTGTCCGAGCGCGCACAAGCTCACGAGCCATGCTAGCCCGTTGTGTGGGGATGGAGTTCGAAGCGGAATGTCACATGTGTTCCGCACGACTGCCGCATGCGCCGCCCGACTGCCGCAGGCCGCAGGCACGCACACGCGGTAAACGCCTGCTTAGCGCTGGCGGAGGGAGACAAATGAGAAAAGGAAGGCAAGCGCGCCGACGATCATGGGGACAGGAAAGGTGTGGTATGCTTGTTCGGCGCGTAGTGTGTGTCGATCACGAAAGATAGTGTCCTATCTGCCCCCAATTCCCCAAGAGTCCCCAGACATGCCAGTTAGTGAACTTCTACTCGCTCGTATCTGCCAACCTCAGGCCCACCCCCCCCAAATACCTCAAACTGGACATAGATCTAACACGCGATTACGCTAGTACACCCAAACACATGCTACTGCTCCCACGCTGCACTGTCCTCGCCGGCCGGCGCCGTTTTGATGTTGCACAACATGTAACAAACCCACAACTTAGAGGCTGGCGCCCTTGATCGGCGCCGCGGCCTCCTGCGGATGGTAGGGCGACCACTGCGCGAGCTTGACGTGCTCCAGAAGCGATGCGTCGTCGAGGTCGCGGAGCTGCACGTTCGTGTCAAGGCCGGCCTTCTGTGCCGCGCGGATGACACCAGTGGCAACGACGGCCGAAACATCACGGATACGCGTCAGGCGGGGATACAGGAGAGATGCCTCCTTCTCCGCAGGAGTGAGGGCCTCAGACAGCGCGATCGCCGAGGCCGTGACCATGTCGTCCGAGATGTGCGTGGCGCCCGAGAGCAGCGCACCAGAACCCAAGCCGGGGAAAATCAAAAAGTTGTCTAATTTGTCAGCGATATTCCTGGCCTGAACAGCATCGCAAAGTGTTGGAGAGTCGTTGTGGAAAGGATGGATGATGGTGGGGAGGGGTGGTTTGGTGAGGAAGGGAATCCCAGTAGAGCTCGGTGGACGCCGAAAAAGGTTGGTGAAGGTGGAATGTGAAACATGGGAATTTGTACTCACTACCCTGTCCAGGCTCGCGGAGCTGGCCGTCGTACACAACCGGGTCGTAAGGAGATCCCGAGGCGTAAAGGACGCGGCCGTCGGTCCAGTTGAGAGCGTCCTCAAATGACAACTCGCACTTGGAAGTAGGGTTGGAAAGGGGGAAGATGATGGGAGCCTGGTTGAGCTCGGCCATGCGGCGGACGACAGGCTCGGGGAACGCGCCAAACGTGGTCGAGAGGCCGACAAGGGTGGTGGGCTTGACGTACTCAATGACCTCGAGCAGGCTTTTGTACTCCTGGCCCTGGGTGTCACGGCGGATGAAGTACTTCTTGTGGTCGGCGAGGCGCCCGTCGACGACGTCCTGGCGGGTCTCGGTGATGAGGCCCTTGGTGTCGATGAGCCAGAAGCGCTCCTTCGCCTCCTGCTCAGAGAGGCCGAGCATGCGGAAGTAGTTCATCATCTCCTTTGCGACACCGATGGCGGCCGAGCCACCGCCGAGGAAGACGACCTTGTGGTCCTTGGGATCCCTCCCGGAGACGCCGCAGGCCGCCTTGGCGGCGGCGACGAACCCACCGAGAATGACCGAGCCAGTGCTGATCAGTTAGCGAGAGCGTTCTTGGCATGGAGGCGTGGGCGCGCACCACTGCGCCAGCCTCCGCGATGCGTGCGCACGCCACCACCGCGCCGTATACTCACCCCTGAATGTCGTCGTTGAACATGCGGTACTTGTTCTGGTACCTCTCCAGGAACTCGAAGGCGGCCTCAGAGTAACTGTGGAAGACATCAGACCCTGACCGCATACTTCGGGCAAAAAAAGTCCGACTGGCCACTCACAAGTCCTCGTGCTGAATGACAGTCTTTGGGAACTGGCTTGACGCCGCAGCCATGAAGGCGTCCATAAACGAGACGGCCTCGTCGAACGATGCACGGGGGCGCTTGAGGCCAAGGTAAAGAGGGTCCTCACGGATCGACTCGTTGTTGGTGCCCATGCTGTTCGGTCAGTCCGTGTCGCCCGACGCCACCGGGAACCAGAGGACCAGAGTTACTCCGGGTCTGTGCGGGGCAACGACTCACTCAAGGACAACGGGCAGGGTACCGGAAGGGTCGAGACCACCGCCGGCAACGTAGAGGTTGAGCTTGCCGACCGAGATGCCCATGCCACCGAGGCCAAGGTCACCGAGGCCAAGGATACGGGAGCCGTCGGTCACGACAATGATCTGGGGCTGGTGCTTGAGAGTAGCAGCGTACTCTGCAAGGATCTGGGGGAGCTGGTCCTAATAGGTGTCAGCACGGACTTGTCGACTCTTCGGCCTCGCGATGCAGCCCTGGCGAAGATCCCAATGAAGGGTGTGCGCCACGAGAGTCTTATGCAATGTGCGCCATGCGATGGCGGGTCACACGCCCCATCGCGTATCGCCGCCCCATCGCATAAAACGACTGGAACAGTTTGGGGAACTCACCTTGTCATCGATCGAAAGGTAGAGACCCTCTGGGCCCGAGTAGACCTGCGAGTACTTTTGGCAGGCCTCCCCGACGGTGGGGGTGTAGACGATAGGAGCGCTGGACGAGGTCAGTACGAGGCGAGATAGGCGCAACAATGCAATGCTGTAATGCAAACTTACAGGTTGACGAGGTCGGCCTGGAGGGCAGCAAAGAAGAGCTCGGGGTCCTCGCGGCGAGTGCGAGAGAGGAGAGAGTGCTTCATGAGGGAAGTGGGCTGCTGGTCGAGCTGGTGCTGGAGGCGAAGAAGGCTTTGCTCGCGGTTGATGTTGGGCCTAGAGCGCCCAAGGCCACCACCGAGGGGGAGCTGGAGGGAATTTGACTTGGGGGTGAGGGGAGGGGTGGGGCCATTTGGGCGCACGTGAGCGCTGAGCTGGTGCGAAGTGGCGGTCATCTTGCGGGCTGTCGAGTTAGACATGGCTGTGTGGGGGATGGGGGAGGAGTGAGGGGGAGACGATGAGGAGAGCAGAGTGCAATGCAAAGTGTAGGATGCGTCAGGCCTACGTAGCAGCTGGAAAGAATGAAGAGGGGGGAGAGGAGGTGAGTGGGGCTGGATGCTGGATGGTGATGGCGATCGATAGAGGGGTGGATATTATAATTATGAATGGGGTTGTGGAACTGAATATGGCCGCGGGATAGAAGGGGGGAAGGGGGGGTGGGGTGGGAGGAGGGCGGAGGAAGGAAACGCGCAGTTCGAAAAACTCACTCGAGATGTGAGATGTGGAAAGATTCGAGTTGATAAAGGCCTTGGATGGGGACGAGTGGGAGAATTGAGAGTACTTTGTGAATGCAGAGGAGCGCAGAGAGTGAGAGGCGCGAGACAGGATGAGCATGAGGGGCCAAAGTGGATGAATGAGAGCGAGGTTATATACTAGGAGGAGGAGAAGTAGGAGCAGTGACCCGGTTAACGGAGGTGTGTGCGGTGGTGTGGTGGGGTGTGGTGGTGGGTGTGAGAGGTGGAGGTCGGTGTGAGCAAAGTGACTCGCAATCCATCCGCCCTTCTCCCCCGCCGCCTGTAGCCCTCCAGCCTCCAGCCTCCAGCCCCGCCAATCTAATTCCCGCCCCGCCCGCATCGCGCCAGGCAATGCTTGAGCGGCTAATGCCCACTCTGTCATTTAGCCCACCCCCCCATATCCCCCATATCCCTCATGCACAGGTCCAGACGCCCAGGTGATCATCATCACCCCTCCCATCGTAGCCCAGTCTAATTTCGCTCCACCTTACCACACTCACTTTACGCGACCCATTCACCCCCCCTCCCCCCCATTCAGAAGCCCGTGCTGTCTCAACCACGCATCCCCCATCTCCCGAATTCACACAGACTACAGATGCACCCCTCCTATCGTACTATCTCTCCTCCCATAGCTCTATCTCTATGCATTGACGAGAATTTCCCCACGCAAATCCACTCTTGCAAGCGCCTCGCATCCCGCATATCCCGCAGCCCATCGCAGCCATCCCATGCCGGCCTCCACCGACTTTTGACTTTTGACAAACCTCCACCACCTTCCAAATGTGATGTGTAATTCGCGGTATACAAGTTGAACAAGCTATACAAAGAATACAAACATTCAAACATTCATCCCCCGACATCTCCCGAGCTTTTTGAAACCAAGCTCGTCACTCTGAGCAACTCGTCTCGCGCCCTCCGATCTTGCTCCTTCTTCTTGTCCATCATCGGCAAGGTTCGCCTCTGGCGCCTCGCACGCTCACTGGGTCGAGCGGCCTCATCACACCGCACTTCCCCGGACATGCGCCCGGCTCCCTCGTACCGCGTTGCTGTCGTCACTCGCCCCCCTCACCGGTTGATAGCTTGAAATCTCCCGGCACGCGTCCTCGCCGCCGCGCGCCGCAATGCATCTCTTCTCTCGCAGTAGAGTAGTGTGCTCACAAATTCCTTGGACCTCGCCCCTGACCGGCATGCAGCCCATCTCGCCTGCGCCAGACTACGCGCCCGAGAGATGCAGCAGCGACTCACCGGGGCCCAAGCCCCCGCAGCATCCGCCTAGTAGACCCGTCAAGTAGCCGAAGGCTCCGTGCTCGATCGACTCGACTCGTCTTCCAACCTCCTCACGATCCGTTCCTCCACGGGTATTCTCCGGACACGCCGATACCCGGCGCCTCTAGCTCTTCATCGCTCCGACATGCCTGCTCGCCACCACCACACCTCCCGCTGCCACTCCCCCACTTTTTTCCCCACTGCCGCGGTTGCGGGCATATCTCCGGCCGGCCCGCGCGGCGCGGAAACACGTGAGCCAGTTCGAAATAGCACCCACACAGTTCGAATCCAGCTCTCCAGTTCGAATCGCTACCACTCTCTTTCCAATCAGCGGTCATACTTGTCCGCTTGCGTAGCGTCCGCTCGCGAAGCTCCCCGCCATCACATGCATAGTATTACTCTGTGTACCTGTGTGGATAGCATTGCCTCGTCGTACGAACGTCGGGTTGGGTTCGCCGTGCGGAATTCGCATCATATCTGTTCCTCTCCCTCCCGACATTCCGACCCGGTTACCCGGTCTAGCTACCCAGCTATTCCTTACAATCCCGGCTATGCCTACAGCGCGCCAGCGCGCCAGCGCCAGCGGACATCTTCCCCAATTCCCCAACGATCTCGTGTCATCTCTAGCCGGATGCAGGATGATCACGCGTCGAGCATCTGCCTGGGAACTCGGTGATCGCGATCGTGATCGTGATCGGCTTGCGCCCATCCCGACGGCTAGCCTCGCCGCGGAATGCAACACTCCAGCGCACCGGGTACTGCGTTTGCCTGTTGTTGTCGAGCATGTCGAGACGTTGGTCCGCATCCGTCACGGACCATTACAGTATTTCATGGTCTGTTGACCGTGTTGGGAAGGCAGATGCGTGAGAATGTTGTGCCGGCCGGCAATGGCATTGCCCAAATCAAGCACCGGACGCTGGCCGGTGTCAGATGCTCCGGGCGAGCGCCACGGCCACGGATCCACGATTCACGATCCTCGATGAGCTGCTGACGCGAGCCAGCGCAACGCAACGCAACGCAACGCAACGCACCGCAACGCACCGCAACGCACGCTGTGCCTGTGCCCACGCCCACTGCCGCCGGCAACGGTGCGCCGCCTCCAGGAGCCTCCGCTCGCCTCGGACCTTGAGGTGGGCCGGGGTCCCGGGGAAGTGGAGGCGGGGTGCTCGCAAAGAGATGCTCGACTCGCCTGCTCGCCTCATCGATATCTGCCGCGTGCCAGGGAATAGAGCCGGAGGATTCGGAGCGCCGACGAGCCGCCGCGCGCGAGGTCTGTGCTGCCGCCGGCAGTGGGCGTGTCCACAGAGGTTCAGCGGGAGATATGAGACACGACAGCACATCGTGATCTCACCCCCTGGCCTGTGGTTCTACTGGCAACATCTTGCGCTCAGGCCTGGTTGGCGTCGGCTGCACGTTATCCCACTCTCGCACCGCTGGTTTTGCCGCTTGAAAGCCAGTGCGTTTGAGCAGGGCCTATGCTGATAGAGACGCGGTCAGAAGCCCCGTAGTGAGCTCGCCGGGCATCGTTCTCTGATCTCGGTCCCTCTGTCTATCGGCCCCTATGACTTTGTATTTAACGTAGCCTCGTGTTTTGGACTCACCCACTGCCACTCAGTTGCATCAGTTGCATCGTGAAGCATATCTCGTCACGGCATGCGGAACGACGAGTCCAGGCTGTACGCCGAGGTCACGCTTCAGATTCGCATGAACACATCCATGGCACCGCTGTACCAGCTATCAGCCAAGAGTCTCCATACATACGATCCCGCCTGCACACACCGGCCAACTTGCTAGTGAATCTTTGCATAGCGGCGGGCCACTCTGGCGCGCCGGACAACTCCCAATTGACACGCCGTTGTTGATCTGTTGACGGCCGACTTGACAATGACGCACCGGCCCATTCGCTACCCCGCACTCTTCCCCGCACTCGGGCGTCATATGGCCATACAATATCAGACTACGACGCCGGCAACGATCGCTTGATCGCCGCAACGCTGCAAAAGTCGACATACACATCCTCGGCCTCGTACTCCTCTCCGCAGGCTCCCCACCTCTCCACCTCCCCATCCGCCACCCTCCTCCCGCCCTCCTCTTTCCCGCGCTCGCACTCTTTCCCACCTCGCCTCCCCTTCCCTCTCCCCCTCAAATTCATCCTCCATCCACGCTGTCTTCGCTTTCTCCCACTCCCCCATCCCCCCTATTCCCCCATCCACCATCCTAATGTCCACGGCCGGTGGCGACAGCACTTTCCTCATGGCCTCTGGCGCTGCGCCGCCAACATCTGTCCCCCGTTCCGCAGTCACTTACGACCTCGACGCGCCGCCGGACACTGACCGCCCGGTCCGCCTCCGCTCTTTCCGCCGTAATGTCCGGCGGGCTAAGATAGCCCTCGCGGCGTCCCTCTGGTCCGCGCTGGCCGCGGGCCTCGCGCACATAGCTCACATGCCCTTCCCGCGCCGCATCCATATCGAGAAGCCCGGCGGCTGGATCGCTGGCGCGCGCTGGAGTGCCGATGCGCTCATTCTCGCCCTCACTGTAAGAAGCTGAGAGCAACAGCGCTGAGAGCAGGTCGCAAGTCTGGCTCTACTCACCGCGACGCTCATATGGCGCCCCTTCCCCGCGCGCCTCCGGCCTGCTGACCTCGGCGGACTGGCTAACATGCGTGTACACCGCGTGGCGTGCGTTGCCACCTTCCTCGCCGCCCTTGCCTCCATCCTCCTCCACCTGGCCCCGGACGTCGTGTACACTCTAATCACGAAGCGCAGCCCACCACCCGTCGATGCAGCCACACTCCACACGGGCAGGATCCATCTCCTGACACTACTTGCGGCCTTCATAAGCGCTGGGTGCATGCGCCGCGGGCCGCGGCTGCGCGCACGCGAAGCCGGCTTGGGTTCAGGCTTCGGAATTGCCCCCAGTCCCAGCAGTGATTCGTTTGACTGGCGCAAGCTCTCGCTAGACATGGACGACGACCCCAACATGATGCGCGTTATTGACTATGGCAACTCGAGCATGCTGACCTTCCTCACGCTCGGTTACGTAGGTCCACATACTAGACCTCAGGCTGACGACAGAGCTTCAGCCTTGCGAAGAAGAGTCTAGAGGTCGAAGCACTCCAGCAGTCTGATCTACCTGTGCTGGAGGAGTGGGTCCGCAAGGGCGGCACGGAGCACCTTGTGCATCTGACGCCGCAAGGCGATAATCTCGAGCCGGCCACCACGATGGGACTCGTCAAGACCCTCTGGGCTGGCCGCGGTTGGACCATCTTTATCAGTGAGTCAGCTCTTGTGTCTCGAACTAATTTCAGCGTTCGCATTGGAGACGCTGAACGTCTTCGTCAACTATATCCAAATCACTGCAATCCACGAGGTCGTTGCGCACTTTGAAAGCGACGATCCCGCGTACTCGTACCTCATGTGCTGGGGCATGCTTGTTGGCCAGGTGCTCGGCGTCACGCTTTCCGCGTATCTTTGGGTGCGCGAAAACTACCTTCTGCACAATCCTGTGCGCATGACCATGTCGTCTATTGTGAGCGTCGAGGGCACCGATTGGAGCTGACATCAGCTTTACGCTAAGATTCTTCGCTCCACAGACGTCAAGGCCATGGAGGCACAGCACCTTACCTCTGACGAGGACCAGAAGGCCAACAAGGGCCGCGCACAAGTCATGAATCTCCTCACTATCGACGTCAACACTGTTGCATCAATGGCAACGTACATTTGGGGTATTTCCAATGGTATCATCCAACGTACGTACTACTCGCTCGCACACTTGAAACTGACAGCAGTTGTCATCGGCCTCGTCTTCATGTACAACATGCTTGGTTCAGGCTCTGTCGTCGCGCTCATCTTTGTTCCGATATTCGCACCTATCTCAGCGTGGATTGCCAAACGCATCTACGGTGAAGATCGGCGAATTCTACCAGGCTAACACCAGAGTGCGACAAGGGTTGGGCTCGTGCACGTGACGGGCGGACAGGCGCTATCAAGGAGTTCCTTGCAGGCATTAAGGTTATCAAGGTGAGTTGCCCTTGCAATCGCGGCTGACCTGAGCTCAACGGCTTCGAGGACTACGAGTATCGCCGGGTTGGCGGATTGCGTGACATTGAGACTTCTTGGCAGCGCTGGCGCTACACTCTGGGGACATTCTTCAACGTCGTCGGCGACCTCCTTCCAGCCGTGGCCTGCACAGGCGCCTTCATATACTACACCAAGATCCTTGGGCGCGATCTTGAGCCTGCAACGGCTTTCGTCACCCTCGTCGTGTGAGTTACATTCCACGTTACTCTCTGATACAGATTCGCCAAGGTCAAGGCTGGTCTTGATGTGTTCCCCATGGCTATCGATGTTGTGCTCAATTCCAAAGTTGCCTTGGATCGGCTCAAGAACTATCTCAACCAAGCTGAAGTCGACGTTAGCCCGGACGACGTGTCAGACGGCATGATCGCCATCGACAACGCGACCGTCAGCTGGCCTGTCCCGGAGAATGCGGTAAATCCCTCCACTGAGCCACCCGCAAACACTTTCCGCCTGAAAGGAATTTCGCTGTCTCTACCCCAGGGGAAGATGACACTGGTATGCGGTCCCCTCGGTGCCGGAAAGACTCTCTTCGTGAGTGGGGACCCCAATCCTGGGAGGGGAGCCTTAATGCTGACGTTAGCTCCGTGCCCTCCTTGGAGAAGCTAAAGTTGAGAGCGGGCATATCATCTCTCCGCGGTCTCCGGTCAACGCGACGCCGCTCGACTACCCCAAACTGCGCATGCAGTGGACGGATGAGAAGTGGCTTACCCCCACAGTTGCGTATGCCCCGCAGATGAGCTATATTCGTCACGGCAGCGTACGCGACAACATCCTATTCGGTCTGCCCTTCTGGAAGGACCGGTATCTTGAGGTGCTTCGGCAGTGTTCGCTCGAGGCAGATCTCACGCTCCTCGTTGATGGTGACCGAACCGAGGTGGGCGAGAACGGTATTAACCTCTCGGGTGGCCAAAAGGCGCGCATCAACCTTGCCCGCTGCGTGTATTCGCGAGCCCGCACAATATACCTTGACGATGTGCTTAGCGCGGTCGACGCGCATACCGCCCAGTACCTCATCGACGAGTGTTTCCGCGGCAGGCTTCTAAGAGGCCGGACGGTCGTGCTAGTGAGCCACCACGTCGACCTCTGCCTCCCCGTATCAGATTATGTGGTGGCTATTGCCGAGGGAAGGGTTCATCAGGCGTGTCAAGCGCGCAACGCACACCTGTCCTACCTCATGAAGATGAGCTCACCTGTCCAAGCGACAGATGAGCTTCCACCCTCTCCGACGGTCAGAGCCCACGCGGAAGCTCTCCACGCGCTCGACACGCTCGTCCACCTCAATGCCCGGACCGAGGTTGCCCCTGACGACGACGCCGCCCTGATTAGGGAGAACGAGTTCGACGAGTTGCTCTCCGTAGGTAGCGAGCAGATCGACCCCAAGGCTCGCCAGGTGTACACCAAGGAACACCAAGAGGTCGGGCATGTGCGCTCGGGCCATTACTGGCTCGTCATCACCGCGGCCGGCGGGATCGGGTACTGGGCCATCTGGGTCTCGCTGTACGGCGGTACAAAGGCCCTGTCGTGGTCGCTCGACTACGTGCTCAAAATCTGGACGGGTGACCCGCATCCAAAGGTCCATCTTGATTATTATCTCAAATTATTCCTGATCCTGAGGGGTGTGTGGGTCGTCGTCGGCGCCCTTAAGTGGGTATGGCTGTACGGCGTCGGAAACGTGGGTTTCTACTCGGCTGGCACCAAGAAGATACACCGCGACCTGTTCAAGACCATCACAAATGCGCCATTGTCCTTCTTCGAGAGCACGCCGTCTGGGCGCTTGCTCAATGTCTTCGCACAGGATGTCAAGCGGCTGGACAGCCAGTCAGCCGACGATTTTGGGCGCACCACATCTGAGATGCTCCGTGTTATCGTATCAGCCATCACCGTCAGCTTCGAGGCTCCTGTAAGTACTATCCAGCTCGCTGAGGCTGACCACAGGCAATGCTCGTCGTGCTCATCGCGTTCGGCACACCCCTTCTTTTCGTGACAAACAAGCTAGGCAAGCTGCGCTCCAACCTTCGCCGCCTTGCCGCCGTGTCTGACTCGCCGATTATCAGCCTGTACCACGACAGCATAGACGGTGTGGTCATGCTGCGAGCGTTTGGGCTCCCGGCCGCCATGACGCAGGGCTTCCAAGTGCTCGCGAACCGCAGTCGCGTTGCGCAGACGTGGAACTGGATCGTGTACAACTGGGTCCGCGCGGTTGTGCTCACACTGTCGTCCGTCTTCCTCACCGTCACGGGCTTCATTCTCGTCGGACGCGACATCTCTCCCGCACTTGCAGGTTTCATTTTGAACTTTGCGGCACAGGTGTCCGTCACCATGTTCTCATTGCTTGAGCGTTTTATCATGCTCGAGCAGACGTTCGTCTCGGCAGAGCGCATCAATTACTACCTGCAGAACACGCCCCAGGAGCCAACGGGTGGGACTGTTCCGCCAGCCGAGTGGCCACAGAAGGGTGGCATAACTGTGCGCGATCTGAGCGTGCGCTATGCCCCAGACCTGCCGGACGTGCTGCACGACGTTTCGTTCAAGATCGAGCCAGGTCAGCGCGTCGGTCTCGTCGGCGCCACGGGCTCGGGGAAGAGCACCCTCGCGCTCTCCCTCTTCCGCGCGGTTGAGCCCACGGGTGGAAGCATAGAGATAGATGGTCTCGACACGTCGACGCTGTCCCTTCGTGCCCTTCGCCAGCGCCTCAACATGGTCGTGCAGGACGGCTCGCTGCCTGCAGGCACGCTGCGGAACGCACTCGACATCTCGGGCGAGGCTGACGATGCGGACGTGTACGATGCACTCCGCCGGGTCCACCTGCTTCCGGATGTGATTACCGCCGAAGAGGTGCGGACTAACCCATTCGCGAATCTGGACACATTTGTCGCGGCCGAGGGCGCCAACTTTTCCCATGGGCAGCGGCAGCTGCTGTGTCTCGCTCGTGCATTGCTGAAGAAGTCGCGCGTGCTGGTCATGGATGAAGGTGAGTTGATTATCGTCTAGTGCCACTTTGCTGCGCAATTTGGCAAGCGGTGCGCGCGGTTGTGAGACAGTATCGCTTGGAGACATGGAGATCTCGATTGGCCGAACACTGACCCCAGCGACTTCTTCGGTCGACTTTGAGATGGACGCCAAGATAACGCAGACGATCCGGGAGTGCTTTGCCGACACTACGATGCTGGTGATTGCGCACCGCCTCGCCACGATCGTTGCTTATGATCGGGTGCTGGTGCTGGACCGCGGACGTGTGCTTGAGTACGACGAGCCGCTGGCGCTCATGACACGGCCTTCATCTGCCTTCCGCAGCCTGTGTATGGCGCAGGGGGCGGACGAGTACGAGCGTCTGCTCAAGCTCGCAAGAAAGAAGTAGGAGGGGGTTGTATGTAGGAATATTGGTATCTGAGTCACGTGCAGGTGACCGATGTGAGGATGTGGATTGGGCGGCTGGGCGAGTGGGGGAGGAGGAACAGAGTAGCAGGAGGCTAGGGAGGGAGGGAGGGAGGTTGTGTACGTCAGCGGGGCTGGTGATTGCGTTTGCATCCTTGCTGGTATGCTCGGCAGGATGTTGGTGTCGGAGCCAAGGCTGTGAGGACGTCAAGGACGTGTGCCAAGCTAGAGTTGATGTTTATGGAGTCGTGCATGGCCTCGCATGGCCTAACTGGGCAATGCGGATGAAAGAGGCACGAGGAGTGATAGACGTCATTTGGATGGTTGAGGACTTGAAGGCTTCTTGGAGAGCCCTGAGGCGCAGAGTCGCGGGTGGTGGAGGGTGTCCAAGGGGAGGGAGGGTGGAGGGTTTCCGATCGACGGTCGGGAGTTGGCGTCATTATGCAGGCATGGCAAGGCATTCGAGGCATTCGAGGCATTCGAGGCAAGCGAGCAAAGGGTCCCCCGGCTGGCCATGACTTTTGAATGCACTGCAGTATAGCAGAGGCTGCGCACCCAGTCCAATTGTCCAAATCTCCTGCCGCGCGAGCCTCGACCCGCGCATCGTCCTTGACCGCAGCACACCGCATGCACCAACGGCCCACTACGAGTCCTGTACTGCATGCAGTCTTGTCCCCCCCGTACTCTACTCTACCGCCACACTTCCTTCCTCATCCGCCTTAAAGACTTGCACATTCTCCAACTCGCTTCTAGCTTCCACTCCATCTCTCATCTCCTCCACCTACTTTACAACCCTCCCTCCTCCCTCAACCACACCACACACAACAATGAAGTTCGCCGCCGCCCTCACCACCCTCGCCCTCGCCTCCGTCGTCGCCGCCCAGGCCGACGTTGAGGAGCGTCAGCGTGAGTTTTGCCACGGCCCACACGGGTGGTCGAGACCAAGCAGTGCAAGACTGCTGCGTCGCTGTTTGTCGTAATGGCCGTAAAGGCTGTTGGGAGCTCGCCAGCAACCCGGCAGTCAGCAGCAGCAGCAGCAGCACAAGACGACTCGGCATTTCACGCGACTTGCTCGTCGCGTCGACGCAGGGAGAGCCACCCAACTCGATGGCACCTTCCTTTCGCCATTCACTTCACATGCCGCACCATTTCCATTTCCCACCTGCTCATCAACTCTCCTCCCTCACTCACCCACTCCCCCCAACGCTCACCGCCCCACCCGCCCCTGCCTCATGCGCTAACCTCAGTCGACTCGCTCTTCTCGGCCGCCACCGCCGGTGCCGCTTCCATCGTCTCCGTTGTGACCGGCGGCGCCGCCTCAGTCGCGACCGACGCCATCCCCTCCGTCTTCAGCCAGGCCACCTCGGGCGTCGCCAACGCCGGCGAGAAGGTCACCTCGGCCGTCGGCGGTGCCGCTGGTGCCGTCACTTCGGCTGTCGGCAGCGCTGGTGCTGCCGCCACCTCGGCTGTTGGCGGTGCTGGTGCCGCCGACACGACCGCTGTCAAGGTCGGTGGTGTCGCGCTCGCCGGTGTCGCCGCTGGTGTCTTTGCCCTTGCCTTTTAAGCAACCAAACCAAAGTCTCTGTAGCGGGAATGTAGGCTCGTTCATGTATACCGTTCGTCGTTTTGCATTGGTCGCGTGGACGGCTCTGAATGATTGACGGATGAACGGCGGTGAGAGGCAGGGTGGACGCGTGTACGCCGTGGGAGAGTCGGGCTTGGACGACAGACGTCACCGCCTCCGCTTGATTGTTGGATCTGCCTCACTAGAGCCTGCCGATTCTGCCAGCCGTGTCTCGTCGATCTTGTCTTCACATACACGATACCCAGCATCGACACAGGCGGGCAACAGGCAGGTAGGCAGCCATCCGTCTCGAGTCTCCACTCTCCACTCTCGCATCTCTCTTCCGCTTCCCATCTCCCCTTCTCTCTCCTCCCTCTCCCCTCCATCTCCCCCCCCCTCCGCCCAATGTTCAAGCTCCTCAAAGACCTCACACGACCCCCCGAGCCGCTGGGCGGGCGCAGCCGCTCCGCGAGCCTCAGCACCGGCGTCACTGCGCCCGCGCCATCCCCC